CAGATTTCTTTAGTGGCTTAATTTATCTCCTAGTTTGGATTCAGGATGACCAGGAATACTGGCTTTAGTAGTTTAAAAACCTTTCCTAGATAGATCCTGCTAAGGTTAAACTTCATTTCATTCCCTGAGGCCTCTTTCAATTTTTTTTTATGAATTTAGATAAGCTTTTTTTATTTTTAAAATATATTTTTATTGATTTCAGAGAGGAAGGGAGAGGGAGAGAGAGAGAAGCATCAGTGATGAGAGAGAATGATTAGTCAGTTGCTTCCTGCATGCCCCGTTGTATTTATGTGCCACATTTTGTCTCTTCATCTATTAATGGACACTTGAGTTGCTTCCACCTTTTGTCTATTATGAGTAATGTTTTTATAAACAAGTATACAAATATCTGTATCCCTGCTTTCAATTCTTTTGAGTATATACCTAGAAATATAAATGCTGGATCATATGGTAATTCTACTTTTAATTTTTTTGGGTTTTCTGTGTTTTAAAGTCTGTTTATAATTCTATTTATTTTCTCAAGGATTTTTCACTGGAACTGTGTACACATTACTTAAAAAGGGCATGAGAATTAAAAAAAAACAAAAACAACCTTTTGAAAGTAGAAAGCCCAGACTTTTAGCATTTGCCAATTTTCCTGGTGTAAATAGTTCCATCCTGACCAATTTTAAGCTTCCACCATGATGTTATTGAATGTATTTTCCACTATACAGATATGATAGACCTCAAGAGCATAGATAATAGTAAAATATAATAAAATAACTGAAGTTATGATTTTTGAGTAGATGTTTTCAATAAATTTATTGCTTTGTAAATTTATATATTTAATTCTTACTGATACCTGTGTTTAAAAATTGGCTTGCAAATTGAATGAAAATTTAGCTGATTCTATAAACCATTGATTGGAAGCACACTCTGCCATTTCTTATTAATCTATAAGTTACTCAAAAGCAGGAACCACTTCTTTTTGTTACTATTTGATGGATTTCATTTTATTTTATTTTTAAATATATTTTTATTGATTTCAGAGAGGAAGGAAGAGGGAGTGATAGAAACATCAATGATGAGAGAGAATCATTGATTGGCTGCCTCCTGCACACCCCAACTGGGGATCGAGCCCGCAACCCAGGCATTTGCCCTTGACTGGAATCGAACTTGGGACCCTTCGGTCCGCAGTCTGATGCTCTATCCACTGAGCCAAACCAGCTAGCGCATGTTTGATGGATTTTAACACATTGTGGACCTCCAGGTATTACAGGAAGTCATAGCTGAAACTACTCTCTTAACAAGAAGACATTGTTAAATGGACTATGGGATTATGCTAATTAAACTTTAAGCAGAACTAAAATGTTGAGTTAAAAACACACACATAGGGCCCAACCGTTGTGGCTCAGTGGTTGAGTGTCAAGCTATGAACCAGGAGGTCATGGTTCATTCCTGGTCAGGGCACATGCCCAGATTGCAGGCTCCATCCCCTGGTGAGGGGCATGCAGGAGACAGCCCATCAGTGATTCTCTATCATCATTTATGTTTCTGTCTCCCTCTCCTTTCCTCTCTGAAATAAATACATATGCATATATATTTAAAAAACAAAACAAAAAACACATAGGTCCTGGTCCTGGCTAGGTAGTTCATTTGGTTGAGCATTGTCCTGATATGCCAAGGATGTGGGTTCGATCCCCGGTCAAGAAACATACAAGCGACCAGAACTTGGCCAGAACTTGGCTGGATCCTGACCAGAACTTCGCTGGAGATCCTAACCAGAAATTCGCTGGAGATCCAGACCAGAACTTGGCTGGAGATCCTGGCTAGGGATCCTGGCTAGGCTGCTGATCAACTGAACGCTGTCTCCGTGTCATTCCTTCTTCGCTGACTCCGTCCACACCTTTGGGGACTCCTGGACCTGCTGGGGTTGGACCCCAGCAAAGCAATAAACCATAACTCTCAGGTTCAGAAAAAAAAAAAAGAAACATACAAGCATCAATCAGTGAATCCATAAATAAGTGGAATAACAAATCTCTCTAAAGAGTTTCTGACAAAATCAATCAATAAAATAATTTTAAAGAACTCCTCATAGGCCTAAGAGTTTCTGGTTCATAAACAATTCAGGGCTTCCAGATTAGAGATTGTTTTAAAGTAACCCTAAAGCCACAAATGCCATAATGTTAAAAATTCTGTGGTAATTTGTTTTAAAAACTTTTATTTAAAATTATGCTTTAGAATGTCATGTAAAACCTTGTGTTATATATAAAGCTATGAAATTGTGGTCTATTTCAATAATTAAACCAATTCAGTACTTGAATGCTTAGAGCCTTTGTTTAATTTGATTTGCCCTCTCCTCTATCCCCCTCCCCATCCTCTCCATCCACATGTTATATAGGTTTGTGCACTCTGTTTATATAAAGGAAAAGATTATCCCCTACATATTCTAATATGGGAAATTATGCCAGCAGTAATTTCTTTATACATACCTATACATATATAGTAATTATTAGTATGTTTATAAAGTCTTATTATCAGTTAATTTACTTTTGGCATCTAATCTAACAAGTACCAGTATATAAGACATGAAAAGCCTCTTTTTGTTTTTTGGATTTTTAAAATATATATATATATTTTATTGATTTCAGAGAGGAAGGGAGAGGGAGAGAGATAGAAACATCAGTGATGAAAGAGAATCATTGATCAGCTGCCTCCTGCATGCCCCACACTGGGGATCCAGGCATGTGCCCTTGTAACCAAACAATCAGTGGATCCCTGCTGCCTGCCACTACTTGAGCCAATTAAGCTCAGAGACAGGGTTGAATCATATATGAGCATTTATTCCAATACTGCTGGCAGTATGGGAGAGCAGCAGGTCATCCACAAAAATCTGCTCTGCAGCCCCCCATAAGCCAGCTGCTTATATAGGGTAGGACAAAGATTACAAAAAGCCTCTATTTTTTGGAAAACACTTTAAAATTTTTTAAAATTAACAATGTCTACATTTTTGTTTGTTTGTTTGTTTTTTAGGCTCATAGCAACTCCTTTGCTGTTAAGAGATTTTTGGAAAAAATTTAAAAGCAAAAACTGGCTTTCTCTCTCCTTTTATTTCCACTCCAAAAATTTTTGGTTATAAAGATAGAACTTTGGTAGTTGCAAAATTTTCCATTCAAATTTAGGTCAATGATGAGAGCAATTGGTGATGGAAATTTTAGTATATCTCTTTCTGAAATTTTGTTCAATGATGACAGTTCCTGATCTTAGAAGCATTTGAACTTCTGAGAGCCATTTTATCCTACTTTATATTCCAAAGTAGAGGCCTTAATCTACCTTTTGTGTAATGAAATATCTGTAGACTGTTTCTCATTAGACCTGAGAACTACTTTTACAGTGGGTTTTTTTGGCTTTTACTCTTTCCACTAAGGGTTCAAAATTTTAAGAACCAATCTTTAGTTCAGAGCTTAAGTGTATAATAAGGTCCAAACTCTATCCCCAAAGCAGTCTCCTACGCTGTAGGCTAGGCAATTTCCCTGTGGAAATCATGTTTTGCCTTTCATAGTAAACTCATGGATGTTTCCTTGATAAATTCAAGGCAGTACCTGCTTTAAAATAATATAAAAGATGCGGAATTTTGAAAAGTTAAGAATAATTTATAAATTAAACATATTCAGATATAAACCACTTTTTCTTTTTTTTTAAATATGGAATCATTCACGAATTTGCTTGTCATCTTTGTGCCGGGGCTATGCTAATCTTCTTTGTATTGTTCCAATCTGTATATATAATAGAGAAATATGCTAATTAACCGGGACACCGTAATGCATGGGTGGGCAAACTTTTTGACTCGAGGGCCACAATGGGTTCTTAAACTGGACCAGAGGGCCGGAACAAAAGCATGGATGGAGTGTTTGTGTGAACTAATATAAATTCAAAGTAAACATCATTACATAAAAGGGTGTGGTCTTTTTTTTTTTGGTTTTATTCATTTCAAACGGATCCCGCCCTCGGGCCATAGTTTGCCCACAGTTGCCATAATGGGTCTACCAAACAGGAGGAGGTTGCTCGTGCAGCGTCGGGGGTGGGGCGGCAGGGGGAGGGTCTGATCAGCAGTGGCCATGGCTGCTTCAAGGGCCGGAGAGGGAGGCAGGGCCAGACCAGCAGCGGCTGCGGCTGCTGCTGGGCCCGGGGAGTGAGGCAGGACTGGACCGGCGACTCAAGGGTGGGCGGCGTCCTGCGATTTCGAATCGTACTCTGGGCTCCTAGTTTTAGTATATATGCTGCTGAAGCAAGCACTAAACTACTTTTTCTGTTAGATATCCTTTCCAGCTTTTCTATATGTACATACACATATTTAGGTCTGTGGTAGCTTTCCCTTTTTTTTTCCCTGAGAGGTGTACTACAGATGATGGTTCTATCCTAGGACCTACGTTCAATAAATTGGGTCTATTCAGATGGCTACTTTTGTGGCATACTAGTATGTAGTTTTCCTTGTATAATTTGTGACTTTAAGCTCTCTAATTTTGGTCTGTGTAGCATTAATTTGTAGTTTTTTGGTTAATAGGGTTGCAGATAATGGAAACTGTGAGAATCCCTGAAAATAAATTTGGTCTGTGTTTTAACTTGAAACCTCATTTCCTACGAGAGAGGAAAAACCACTGCCTAACTGATGAGGGTGTCAGTGACCCTAGGGAGTTCTTGAACACATTGTGAGTTACTGTATTAATATATGATGGTGGTGGCTTCTTGGTATTTTAATTTTGGCTCAAAATCTAAGACACATGCAGAGAGAAGTGATTTTCAAAATGTTAACTAGTTTAAGAAATTTTTAATATAGCCTGGTTATTATAGACCATTTAGGGTTTTTTTTATACCTTTTTATTTCCATATTTTCAAAATGAATTGTATATCACATTATTAAAATACTAAAAAATATAAAGAGAAAAGAAAGAATAGTTGCAGGATCATGTTTATTAATATGACTTTTGGTTCACAGAATAATGATTTATGCTGATTTTTAGTTCCAGAAAGCTGATTCTGATCTGGATTACATTCAATACAGGCTGGAATATGAAATCAAGACTAATCATCCTGATTCAGCAGGCGAGGTAATCTGCAAAATCAATGTCTTTTCAACAGAATATTTTATCAAAAGATTTTCTGATAGTATTTCTAATAGTAGTGATTATAATAATTACAGTATTAAGTACTGAACTCATAGAAACTTAAAATCTTTTTATGTTGGAAACTTGGTCACAGCATATTATTGTACCATGGTCAAGGAAATTTGTGGCTATTTTATTTTTTTAACCCTTATAAAAGAATTATTGAGTCAGGAGATACGAACCATTGTGGAAGCCTTTGAAATTGTGAGAGAATATAGATACCTCTAGAACAGTCTATCTATCTATATAAAAGCCTAAGTGACTGTTGCGACCAAACGACTGTATAAAAGTTTAATAAATAGAAAATATACTACAAAAAAAACGACTGATAAAATAATTCTGCAGAGAGTGATCAAGACCTATGGCATGGCCATTACAAGTAGGAAAGGAACAGAAGATAGACACCATGAAAAAAGAATACTTAGTATATTTGATATGGTCAAAGAAATAATAAATAGCATCAAATATATATTAAGATGCCTTTAGGAGTATCTACTCATTATACACCCCCCCTCACCCTTAGGGGTAGATTTTCTACCATGTTTCTAGATACTGGACATTGTATTGGATAAAAGATCTCCAGTAGAAAAACTGGAAAAATACAGTAAAAAATGTCTTTTATGGAATAGTGGCTATATTTTAAAAAGAATTAGAAAAACCAATGTAATGTAAGGGTGTCCCAAAATTCACGCAAGAAGTAATTTTGATAGAAAACACAGGTTTATAATTAAAAATTGTAAATTTTTTATTAATTCATAAAGTATACAGTATAGGGTTATGTATGGAATAGCATATCGGGCAAATGGCCTCCACGGCTTTGTTGGCACATACGCACTCTTTTGTTGAAATTTTCCATGACCATTTTGCATAAATGTGGCTGAATTTCCTTGATACAGCGCTCAATTTCCTCCTTCAAGGTGTGGGTGGTCGTGGGCTTGTTGGCATAAACCTTAGACTTCAAAAAACCCCAAAGAAAAAAGTCCAATGTAGTTAAATCGCATGATCTGGGTGGCCAATTCTGATCACCAAAACGAGAAATTACACGATCAGGAAATGACTCGTGCAGTAATTGAATTGTTTCTCGGGCTGTATGGCATGTGGCACTGTCTTGTTGAAACCACATGTTGTCCACATCCATATCTTGCAATTTAGGCACAAAAAACTGGATTATCATGTCGCGATAGCGAGCACCATTAAATTCAAATCTTGTGTGAATTTTGGGACACTCTTTATAAATACAGTTGCTTGAGCTGACATGAATTTTATATAGTGAAATCAATGAATTAGTATTTATACATACTTAAGCCTCATGGCAGTATGTTTAAGAATTTATAAAGTGGCTTCAAGTTGTCTTATTCCTTAATGACAAATTAATATAGTTCCTTTAATCATCTTCTGAATAGTATTTAGAATTGTATTTTAGAAATATTATGTAATTAATTGTTGTGAACTATGCATCAAATATGTATCTAAAGTGACCTTATTTGCTGTTTAATGTTGCTTTTTTTGTGAGCTATTTCTGTACATAGGCTTTATTTTTTTTTAATTTATTTTTTTACTAGAGTTGATATTTCCGTATTATTTTATAATAGTTTCAAGTGTATAGCATAGTGATTAGACAATTATATAATTTCCCCGTTAATTCTAGTGCCCACCTGACACCATACGGGTTACACTATTATTACACTATTATTGACTATATTCCCTATGCTGTACTTCTGCACCTAGGCTTTAAATTTCTTTAGAATAGAATCTAGGTCTTACTTCTTTCTTCCCCTTTTCCATCCTTGTCGCACAGTTGTATAATAAAATACAGTGTTTGATTAAATGGACGGTAAAATGTGTTGCATAAATTTTAATTATTAAAAGAAGCTTAATTTTTCACTTCCACAATTTAATATATATTAATTTTTTTCCTGATATAGAAAAATCCAGTTACACTCTTACAGGAATTGTCAGCAATAAAGTCCCGATATCAAACTTTGCAGGCACGCTTTAAGCCAATTGCTGATGAGCAGAAAGAGATTAAGAGCCGCATTTGTGCTACTTTCAATAAGACTATGACCATGATACAAGAACTACAAAAGCAAACAGACCTGGAGGTAATGCTTTCAATTGACATGTTGGATACTGTTCGCTGGTTGTTTCTCAGCATCTATGTTCTTCCTTCCTGCCTTACAGAGTACTGATTTTCTTTTTTTTCTTTCTTTTTTTTTTTTTTAAATATATTTTATTGATTTTTTACAGAGAGGAAGAGAGAGGGATAGAGAGTTAGAAACATCGATGAGAGAGAAACATCGACCAGCTGCCTCCTGCACATCTCCTACTGGGGGTGTGCCCGCAACCAACGTACATGCCCTTGACCGGAATCGAACCCGGGACCTTTCAGTCTGCAGGCTGACGCTCTATCCACTGAGCCAAACCGGTTTCGGCAGTACTGATTTTCTTGAGATGTGTGCTGTCCCTCACAGCCTCATGCCTGAGGTAAATAAAGCTGGCACTATCCTCAGCTTCAGTGTGTGCCTGATTGGCAATGGGAATGGATTTTCCTTTAAGTAAACTTAATTCAGGAATGGGTTTGTAACCCAACTGACATGTGAAGAGGGAGTCTGGAAGTGGGAAATGAAGAGTTTCCTCACTAATGAGAGAGCCTTGGCAAGAGAAAACTTTTCTTTCTTTTTTTTTTTAAAAAAAATATTTTTATTAATTTCAGAGAGGAAGGAAGAGGGAGAGAGAGAAATATCAATGATGAGAGAGAATCACTGATCAGCTGCCTCCTGCACACCCCCTACTGGGGATAGAGCCTGCAACCTGGGCATGTGCCCTTGACTGGAATCGAACCTGGGACCCTTCAGTTCGCAAGCTGATGCTCTATCCACTGAACCAAACCAGCCAGGGTAAAAACTTTTTGTATAAACATTTTGTATAAAGGTGATGCCTAGCATCACCTCTTAAGATAAAGCTACCAGTAAGATTATCAGAGCTGTGAGATGGGAAAAACTGAGTCTTTATCTGATGAACAGACCAGCCCTAAAGTCTGTTCTATTTATTTTGCAATAATAATAACTTGTATTACTTATCCATTTTGAAATGTGTTTCTTTTACTTGCAGCTAAAAGCATCTTAATTATCCTTCAAAATTTAGCCCAAGTTTCTACTTCTTAGGAAACTTCCAGATTATTTTTGTTTACTTTCTTTATCAAAATACTTTTACATATAGCATTCAGACTTGACTTCTTTGGTTCTGTCCAATTATAGTCCTTAAATTGTTTGACATCTTGGTCTTGTTTCTTCAACTTTAAAAAAATTTTTTAAAAATATATTTTCATTGATTTCAGAGAGGAAGGGAGAGGGAGAGAGACAGAAACATCAATGATGAGAGAGAATCATTGATCAGCTGCCTCTTGCATGACCCCTACTGGGGATTGAGCCCCCAACCTGGGCATGTGCCCTTCACTGGAATCGAACCCAGGACCCTTCAGTCGCAGGCTGAAGCTCTATCCCAGGGGTGGGCAAACTTTTTGACTCGAGGGCCTCAATGGGTTCTTAAACTGGACCGGAGGGCCGGAACAAAAGCATGGATGGAGTGTTTGTGTGAACTAATATAAATTCAAAGTAAACATCATTACATAAAAGGGTACGGTCTTTTTTTTTTTTTAGTTTTATTCATTTCAAACCGGCCGGATCCGGCCCGCAGGCCGTAGTTTGCCCAAGGCTGCGTCTATCCACTGAACCAAACCAGCTAGGGCTGTTTCTTCAACTTAATTGCAAGTTCTTTGGAAGCTCAAACATCAAAGCACTTTGTATATAGGTAGCCAAATAATGTATTTTTTCTCCTGCTTTCTGAAATTTGTATCATATACATGGTATAAGCTCATAGAAACATTTATTGTTGTGATAAAGAAGTTAACTAGCCTGGTCGGCATGGCTCAGTGGTTGAGCAACGATCTATGAACAAGGAGGTTATGGTTCGATTCCCAGTCAGGGCACAAGGAGGTTATGGTTCGATTCCCAGTTGTGGGCTCAATTCCCAATGGGGGATGTGCTGGAGGCAACCAATCAATGATTCTTTCTCATCATCGATGTTTCTCCCTCTCCCTTCCTCTCTGAGTTTATATATATATGAAGTTAATATATATATTTTAAGAAGTTAATTAAATTAACAGTCTTTAAAGGTGTTTTTGTTAAAATTATAGTTGAAGCTTTTAAAGGTTTTGGAAAAAAAGACTGTCATTTGTTTTCTAGCTGTCACCACTGACTGAAGAAGAGAAAACTGCAGTACAGCAATTAAAATCTCACATGTCAGATTTATGAAGAAATGGACTTGCAAAAGGGAACTCTGGTGGAGAAGAGATCAATTCCAGAGAGATTTAGGAAGATGTCTTGTTAGCATATGGTAACTAGAGGTGGGGTATGGTGAAAGAGAAAATTTGGCCTGGGTGACTGGATAGTGATGCCTTTCACAAGAGGGAAATATAAGGACAGATATGAATAAATTTCAGTCAAAAGGATGGAATGGGAAAAGGATTTAAATATATGCACACTTAGTTTTGCAATTTCAGGCAAGAAAGTCTCAACACTATTTTGCATCTGTTTTTGTATAATCAGGATAACAAAGATGTTCTATCATAAAAGAATGATTATAGGGCGAGCTCAAAGGCTTCTTTGAGGCCGAGGGTGGGTGCGACTCGCCCGCAGCGGTTACGGGAGCCAGTAAGCCTGTCGCATTTGGCCGTGCAGAGCAGGTGCCCGGTGCTGGCCCGCGCACCGCCGCCCATCGCGCCGTCGCTGCTGGAGCAGGTGGTGCGGGAGGCGCAGGAGCTCCAGCGGGAGCTGCAGCGCCAGAGGCTTAGCGTCTATGGCACCGCCGAGGTCAAGGAGCCTGCGCCGAGCCTAATGGCGATCAGGGGCAATGGAAAGCTGGCGGTGATCTGGCCTCCCCGCAGAAAGGCTTCTGAGAACGGCCTGGAGCAGGAGGAGCGGAAGCCTTGAGGTTAGAGCAGGCTGGGATCCCCGGCCAAAAGTAACATGCCCGTCAGAGGACCCGGACAAGAGGAGCCCGAGCGTGCTCTCGGGATAAGCAGACGTCCCGAAGAGGGACCCGCGGTCTGCACTAGGGAAGATGAAGCCTACCAGCCCATCCTTGAACTTCATTTTGTGAAATTGATTCGTTTCTGCTACAAAACTGTTATTTTCCATTGGCAAATACCACTACAACAACCTAACCAATGAAACGGTCCAGCCCTTCTCCACCTAACCGAAAACCGAGCGAGCCTCTCCCTCCGGCCTTGCATGGAGTCACCATCTCGGCTTCCCCATCCCCCAATAAAGTCCCTTCTTACTGGGCAAAAAAAAAAAAAAAGAATGATTATGTACTGTCAGTCAAATGTGAATGAATGTGCATTGGAAATTAAAGATGGAAAAAATATTTGTATTATATATTATATATGTATATAATTTTCTATTTTTGAAAATTTTAATTGAAGATGTGGTCACATTATCAGTGAGATTGCTAAGTGACCTATAGTGTCCCATAAAACCTAACCTTTGTAATAAGCTGGTTTCTCTGTGACAGCCTCTTTTATTTTTGTCCTATTCCTTTTGCTTGCTAATGTTGAGCAACATGAGTTCTGCTTTCAAATGCTGTTTTAGGTTGTCTTTATTGTATTTCTTTTTAGAAGAATATTAAAAATCAATATTTTCATCATTTTGTTCTCTACTGAGCTATTTTTTTTGATAAAATGTAGTCCTTTGGTTGCTTTAAAAAAAATTCTTAAAAAAAATAGAATATATAGCAACTTCATTTCTACTAGAGGCCCGGTGCATAACATTCGTGCGGGGGGGGGGGGAGGTTTCCCTCATCCCAGCCTGTGCCCTTTCAGAGTCCAGGAGCCTCAGGGGATGTCTGACTGACAGCTTAGGGCCGCTCACTAGCAGTCAGCTTGGCTTGTGGCTGAGCGGTGCTCCCCCTGTGGATGCGCATTGACCACCAGAGGGCAGCCCCTGCGTTGAGCGTCTGCCTCCTGGTGGTCAGTGTGCATCATAGCGACCGGTCATTCCGCCATTTGGCCGATTTGCATATTACCCTTTTATTATGTAGGATAATTGACATAATCTTCAGAAACTCCTGGATACTTTGGAGTAGGTGGGAAGGGGAGTCAACCTTTTCCATTTTAAAAGCTACCTGCATTCTTCCACAGCATAACATCCGACGATTTCCCTCTTGGCTTTGCTTCTGTTGTCACATCTCCTTCTGTGACTCTCCCCTGTTGTATTTCAGTACGGCCTTTGTTCTCCTCCAGCCTATATTATTGTACTTGTTTATTCTATATGAAAGCTAAGAAATTGAAATCAGAAGAGTACTGCCAACTGCTGCTTGCTAGTTTTGTGTGTTTGTATGTATTTCCCTATTTATTTTTAAATAACTTGACAATAACATAATTGTCCAAATTACAGGACAGATCTTGGTGTAAATGTTAATCACAGGATTATTTACAATAGTAATACATACACATCTGGCTGATAGCAGGCAAACAGGAAAGTAAATCATGATGTATCTATGCAATAGGAGGTCAGAGTTGCCTATAAATTATTACTGTTAATGTTCAGGGAAATGCTGAATGGGGGAATGGAAGCAGATATTGCTGTTCTGAAGTTAAAATTGGGCTTTGACATCATATCTAAGATGTAAATAGCAGGTTTTAAATTCCAGCTGTTTTACCCTGAGCAAATCACTTAACTTCTCTGTGCCTGCATGGTGGGAAGCACAATGAAATATTGTTTGGTTTTGAAGGATAAATATTGAAGGATATTTAGTAATCCTTCAATAAATGATAGTTCCATATATGTAATAAAAATGAGGCATTGAAACGACTAGGAAAAATACATAAAATGTTAGGTCTGCAGGTTATCGAATTATACTTTAATATAATTTTAAGAATTTGTTATGATCATGTATGTCCATTGGCCAACTTACAATAACTGACAAACAGGGTTAGGAGAGTAGCTCCAGTTAAAATTGTCCTGTCCAGTTTGAATATGTCAAGAACAGAAAGCCCTCCTCCTTTAATTTACAGTTACATTTTAGTAACAGATATTCATTTTTTTCAGTGCTCAGGCAATTAATATTAATAAAGTTCCTGTACATAAATAATTTTTGACACATAAAGTTGTTGCCCACTAATTATAATAAAATCCAAATGCTTTAATAGTCAATAACTTTCTAGGTTATTGTTGATTCTCTACACGTGTATTCTAGGTTGGGCTAAATGTAATAGTTATTTGCAACAAACTAGAAAGAAAAAATTAAATTCAAATCAAGAATTTGATGCACGCCTCCTGTCTCATACTTTCAACTCCTGCAATTTTTAAACTACGATACACAATTGTAGAAAGCGGCCTCCAATCTAGGAAAGCTGAATACAGCTGATACCGCTTTGCACTTTGTAGTCTCATGGCAACCGCGCACCTCACGTGGCAAGAAATGCAGGTGTGGTGTGGGTCTTACGTCTACTTAACCTGTGGTCCCGTTCTCCCAGCCCTGAAATGAGAAACTATACCGCTCTAGGCTTCACAGTCTGGAGCTTCGCTTCAGGTGGAGCGGAAATCTTAAAAACCTGAGTCTCGGCTTCCTCCCAAAGAAAAAAATCACTAGCCAGGTAACCTCTGCACCACGGTTTTGCAAAGGGCGGGCCATACACCGCCTGCAGCCAAAATCACCGAGAGAGGTTGTAGAAAATGCCGATTTAGTGGGGCTCTACCCTAGAATCAGAGTCTAAGTACCTAGGGGTGTGGCTTTGCAGTTTACGTTTTTCACATGCACTCCAGGTGGCTCTGCTCGTTCGCGCGCAAGTTTTGAGATCGGTGGGGCAACGCCCTCCCCTGAAGGGGCGGGGCCCTGCCACTGCCTGCCTTATCCTGGGGTCGGAGGCGAGCTACCTTGCCGCAGGGAGCCGCCAAATCTCGTGTGCGCCTCCGCACCGCGGGAACTAGGTGCCCGCCTCTCGGCTCCGCTCCTCTAACGCTGCGTCCTGCGCGCATGCGCGCCAGCGCCTTTCTGCGCCGCCGCGCCTCCAGCTGCCCTGGTTACCGTAGGTGTTTGTGAATTCCCTGCAGCGCCTGCTTCGCTGGAGACCTGAGGCGCCAGGCTTCAGTAGCGGTTCGACACGCGCGCGCCCGCCCGCCCGCCCGCCGGCGTCTCGCGGTCCCCGTTGGGCGGCTGAGCCGGGAGGGAGGATCTGCGGCCACTTCTCGCCCTCCTGCTGCTCTCTAGGGCGGGCACGCGGATAAAATGGCGAAGTGGGGGTAGCTGGCGCGGAACCTGAAGCGATGGGGCGCGCTCGCGGGGCGGTCGTTGGAGCCTCCTGAGGTGGGCGCGGGGTGGTTCGCCGCGGCAGTTTCAACTGGCGACCTCGGGCCGGCGCCTAAGAGGTCAGACCACGGACTCCGCGGGTCGCTGTAGGCCCCGCCGTGAGTCGGAGGCAATGGATGAACAGAGTGTAGAGGTGAGGAGGTTTGAGGAGGTTGGTGGTTCGTGTCCCCATGCTACCCGCTGAGTGTTTTTTTAAGCGGGTCGCCTTTCCCTAGTCCTCTCCGGTAGGGACGCCGCCGCCGCGGAGAAGCTGGCCAGGGGCGAAGGACGGCGGCGGGTGCTGCAGCCCCTGGTGCCCGTGCTCCGGCCGCTCCCGCAGGCAGGTGCTGCGCATCTTGGCGTGTTCAGGTTGTCTCCGCCCGGCACTCATCCCCACGGGGCTTTTGCAGACTGCAGCCTGTGCAGAGTAAAACTGCAGATTCATTACAGGGACGTGCCCTGACGCTCGCAACCAGTGCTTGTGATTTCTGCGCGGATCCAAATCTCCCTCCGAGTGGATAACCTTTCTTCCTAGCGGTACAGTTTTGTAGACTTCTGCCCTTCCTAGGTTGGATGAGCATATTCTCTGATTATCTGATTTGGCTGTAGTTTGCCAGAACAACCTTATTTTTTATTATACCTGGCACTTGTAAGCTCTGATTTAAAATTGTTGGGGTATTTACATAAAGGCCAGGGACAATTTTTAAAAAGATGGGCTATTGAACATAATTGTGTAATAATTGCCAAACACTGTATTAATTGTCGAAATACTAAAACACTGAGTCCTTGCTTCGTTCTTAGTAAGGGCAGCGATGTGACAGGGCTCTTTAAACTAGTTCACCCGATGGTGGTGTCGCCCCCACCTCCCTCCCCACCCCGCCAGCATCTGCACCGCACAGGTTCTTCGGGCTTGCAGTCATGATTAGACTCGCAGGTGAAAGTATTCTAAAGGCTTGGTAACTTGACCTTGGTTTTATGAGAGTTTTAATTCTCCTGCCCTATAAAAATGAACTTAAAATATCTAATAACCTACATTTAATTATAGCTGTTTTTCTTGTTAGTTACTTCCTAAATTGATTCATATGAGGCTTGTTGCCAAGATAATACTATTTCTCCTAATGTACGTGATCTTTTTTCCTTCCCAAAGCATTGGGAGAACTGCCACTAAAATTCTCAATAGGGTTAGACTCTCAGGCTCAAGTAAGTAGCTGCTTGGTTGCAGTATCAGGGCAGACATTCCGATTTCTGGATTCTGAGTTAGTTTCTTTAAGTAAATAAAAAAAATTGTTTTTAATCCTCACCTGAGGATGTTTTTATTGATTTTTTTAAAAATATGTTTTTATTGGTTTGAGAGAGAGAGGGGAAGGAAGGGGAGAGAGGGAGGAACATCATTTGAGAGAGATACATCCATCAGCTGCTGCTTGCCCTCTGCTGGGGGTCTAGCCTGCAACTGGGCATGTGCCCTGACCATGAATCAAACCCGAGACCCTTTGGTGCGTGGGAGGAAGCTCAGCCGAGCCACACCGGCCAGGGCTTTAGTGATTGTCCCACTTACTCATACATCCATTGGTTGATTCTTGTAAGTCCCCTGACCAGACTGAACCCACAATCTTGGCCAATCAGGATGACACTCCAATCAACTGAGCTACCTATCCAGGGCATTGGTCAAAGTGCACTGCTTTTAGGATATGTATCTCTTAAAAACTTATCATAGCAATTCATCCTCCTTGTGAAATGGCAGAGAAAGTAAAAAGTTCATATTGTTCCTTTAACCGTGTAGTTTGCCTTTTTTCCCCCTTACTGTTAAATATAAGCATTTTTTCTGTATCATTAAATAATCGAAGAAATATTTGTAGTGACTAATGTAATCTATGTTAACTGTGGTAATTAATATTTGGACCAGCCAGGTCCTTGCCATTATAATTAATGTTCAGTAAAAATATTTGTGCATTTCATATCCTTTCCTTAGAATAGGACCATTGTGAAGCTTAGATGCTCTGAGGTACTCGATCTTGGCTAACAAGTCCTGATATGGAATAAACTTAAAACTGAGATGTTATCAGCCTAAAATAAATGTAAATAAGCAAATTACTTTAATCATGCTTTTTACTCTTGATTCAGTAGCCTAACCTGGTGGACCTTACATCTTTTATTATTTTCAGAGCATTGCTGAGGTTTTTCGATGTTTCATCTGTATGGAGAAATTGCGGGATGCACGCCTGTGTCCTCATTGCTCCAAGCTTTGTTGTTTCAGCTGTATCAGGGTAAGCTGTACTTTTCTTTCCATATGCACTTAGCATATGTAGGATATATTGGTAAATAAAATGGTAAAAATTAACCATTTCCTTTATCTTTTCATTTTAGATTTTGTGTCCTTTTAAAAAAATGTCTTCAATGAATGTTCCTTAATAGAGAGACCATTGGTGTATGTTGCTTAGTACTGTGGAGATGAATAGTCATCAAATGATAACTGCCATGACATGTCTGGAAACCAAAATCCACTAAAATTCTAATATATTTACATTATTAAATCATTGTACATTTAACAAGTACTTACAAAGGGCTGGCCTGCATTGTGTTTGAGGTTGAGGGATATGAAGATAAATGACAAAGTGCCTGCCCTGAAGGAACTTAAATATAATAAAGAGAATGGACTTTGTGTACAGTCATAGACACTAACAAAATGTTGTGAGACCCAGAGGAGGGAGAGTTTATACTTGTTTGGCTATGTTTTCAGACTAGATCTTCAATTTTCTAGCTACACTTAGTTGATTCTCTCTTACTACCTGTTTTTTTGTTTGTGTTTTTTAATTTTTTGTTTGTTTTCTGCCCCCTTTTTTGTCCCCATAATTCTCTCTCTTTTTTTTATCCCTTCTTGATTTTCAGCATAAGTAGCTCTTTATGTTTGCCTACAATTATTGACTTTGTTTTGTCTTAAATTTTGCAGACTTTTAAAATCGGGTATAATTTACATACAGTAAACTACACATATTTAAAGTGTACAGTTTGATAAGTTTTGACAAATGTATATACCTCAGAAACCATCACCATGGTCAAGATAGTGAAAATATCTGCAATCCCCCAGTTTCTTTGTATCTCTGTGTAATGTCTCCTGCTTATCTGGTTTCCAGGCAACCATTGATCTGCTTTCTGCCACTATAGATATGTGTGGATTTTCTGGAATTTTTTACAAATGGAATCTTATAATATATACTCTTATGTATCTTTTTTTTATTCAGCAAAATTATTTTGATATTTACCTATGTCAAGTGTATAGTGTTCCTTTTTACTGCGCAGTAATAGCATTGTATTATATGCATATGCCATAATTTGTTTATCCATTCACATGTTTTATTGTTTTAAATGAGGTATAATTGACATTTAAAACATTATATTAGTTTCAGATCTGCAACATATTTCTACATTCAACATTTGTATGTATTTGTATATATTGCAAAATGATGACTACACTAACTAGTTAACATCCATCACTATACATAGTTACAAAATTTTTTTTTCTTATGAGGACTCTTAAGATCTATTCTCTTAGCAATTTACAAATATGTAGTACATATTATTAACCATACTATTAACCATAGTTATTATGGTTATATGTTAATAATATGGTAATAACATTATTATTATTATTATTATTAATAGTATGGTTAATAATAACATTATTATTAACATATAGTCACCATACTGTACACATTCACTTGTTGATGGATACATGGGTTGCTTCTAGTTTTTGGCATTTACATAGAGCTATGAGCATTTATATACAAGTGTTTGAATGAACTTCAGTTTTCATTTCTCTTGGGTAAATAATCAGGAATGGAGTATCTAGATCATAAGGTAGATGTTTAACTGTTTAACATATTGTCAGACTGTCTTCTAACATATTATCAGACTTTATCCTTTTACGTTCTTGCTGGTATGTATGAGAGTGCTAATTCCATATTAATGCCAACACTTGGTTTGTTCAGTCTTGAATTTTAGTAATGGTACCTCAACTTTCCCCTTAAGATCAGGAAAAAGACAAGGTTGCCTGCTTTCATTACTTCTATCCATTACCTTCTCTCCCAACCCTTAGTAACCACCATTCTTTAAGTTTCTTCGAATGTGACTAGTTAAGTACCTCATATAAACCCAATTATACAATATTTTTTTTAGTACTTATTTCTGGGCTCTCTATTGGTCTCTCTTTCAGTCTTCAATGCCAGTACAAACCTGTTTTGATTACTATGGCTTTGTCGTAAATTGAAATCAGGAAATTCAAGATAGTTTTGGTTATTTAGGGTACCTTGTGATTATTTTTGAATTTTAGATGGGGTTTTTCTACTTCTGAAAAAAGCACCATTGTGATTTTGATAGGAATTGCATTGATTCTGTAGATTGCTTTTGGTAGTATTGCCATCTTAACAATATTAAATTTTTTAATCCATGAATATGGGATGTCTTTCTAGTTATTTAGGACTTCTTTAATTTCTTTCAGCAATATTTTGTAGTTTTTCACATACAGTTTTTTCAATTCCTTGGTTAAATTCCTAGATATTTTACTCTTTATGATGCTATTGTAAATGTATTGTTTCCTTAATTTTCTCCTTGGAGTCTTTGCTAGTGTATAGAAATAAAAGTGTTTTATGTGTGTTGATTTTTGTATCCTGCAGCTTTGGTGAATTTATTAGCTTTAACTTAAGTTTCTTGTGAAATCTAGGATTGTCTACATATCTGATCATGTGTCATCATAAACATAATCTTATTTCTTTTCCATTTTGGATGCTTTTTGTTTCTCTTCCTTAATTGCTCTGGCTGAAATTTTCAGTATTATGTTGAATAGAAGTGCTGAAAGCAGGCATCCTTGTCTTTTCCCTGGTCTTAACAGAAAAGTTTTCCATCTTTAACCACTGAATATGGTTTGCTGTGGGTTTTTAAAATAAGGATTTTAGCCCTAGCTGGCTTGGGTCAGTGGATAGAGCGTTGGCCTGCGGACTGAAGGGTCCCAGGTTCGATTCTGGCCAAGGGCACATGCCAGGTTGCAGGCTCAATCCTCAGTAAGGGTGTGCAGGAGGCAGCCAATCAATGATCCTCTCTCATCATTGATGTTTCCCTCTTTTTGTCTCTGCCCTTATCTTCCACTCTCTCTAAAAATCAATGAAAAAATATCCTCAGGTGAGGATTAACAATCACAATAAAATAAGGACTTTATCAGTTGAGAAAGTTCCCTCCTATTCCTATTTCTTGAGTGTTTTTATCATGAAAAGATAGTGGATTTAGTCAGATGCCTTTTTTCCTTTGTTTTATTAATGTGATATATTACACTAATGGATTTTTGTATGTTGAACTGTCCTTGCATTCCAGGAATAAATCACTTGGTCATGGCGTATAAATCAAGAAAACTTGAGCTCAGTCACTTGTCTATTTCATGTGGTTAATAAGTGCTAGAACTAGGAATCAGACTGAGGTCTGAATACTGTCTAAAGCTTGTGTTTCCATTTAATGAGGGAGAGAAATCAGTTCTTCAGTTGATTGTGAAGGAATTACTTTAAAGATGTTTCTTTAATATTTCTTGTGCATTAATATTGTTCACTGGTTTTTACCTTGAGTTTTGGTTTGGAAGAAACATTGTTTCCCCCAAAGTATGAAAATTGCCATTCTTATTTTGTGATTAAGTTAGATTGTGTAATATGTACAAGGTAAAAATGCTACATATATATAGAAAAGGGAAAGGTCACTAGCTTGGGATAGGCAGGAAAGTTTTATGGTTATAATCAATGGATATTCTCATGTGAGAGCGCATAGAGAGAGGGACTGTATAAGCAAATAGACAGTCCTGATGTCAAGAGTGGTATATATTGCAACAATAGCCCTTTTGGATGGGAGAAGTATATTAAAAAAATATATTGGTCCCAACCTTTATAGAGCTTATTGTGAAGCAAGGGAGGGGAGACTACAACCACAATGAAGGGGGAAGTATAGGTTGCTGTGGTAGAGCATGGCAGTGGTATCTAAAATAGTCTATAGAGCAAGCATGTCGAACTCTCGGCCCAGAGGCCGCATGTGGCCCACAATGAATATTTTTGTGGCCCAGTCAATATAATGGTATGTAAGAAACATTCTAATAAAAATTTCATAACTTGATTTTTATAATATCCTGTTATACATAATTATTAATAAGGAACTACAACGTTCACTAATGGCTGATTACTATAATCGTGTTACATTCATTTCCCTTGCACGCCTTATATGCAGGCACACCATTTCTCTCTACAAATACTAGCAGCAAGTATTTTAGCAGCCAATTGCATGTCATTAGTCTTGTACTGACGTGTGTGGTGTGCGCAACGGGAAATATTTCGCTTTCTGAGAGCAAGAAAAATAGGTTTATTTGCGTTACACTTATTAATTTGTGCAATTATTCAGTGTCTGGTAAATTAATGTTCAAGAAAAATTAATTTTTATTAAAATGTTCTATTTTATGTTAACGATTACTTATTTATTTTAGCCCTTTGTATTCAGCATGTCTCTATCAAAATAAACCTATGTTTCTATGAAAATTGGAAGCTTTTGTTTTTTTTGTGGCCCACATAAACTTAAACCTTGTTTATTTGGCCCGTGCTAGCCTTTGAGTTTGACATGCTTGCTGGAGAGCAGTGGTTCTCAACCTTCCTAATGCCACGACCCTTTAATACAGTTCCTCATGTTGTGGTGACCCCCAATTTCATTGTTACAAATTGAACATAATTAGCCCTAACCGGTTTGGCTCAGTGGATAGAGCGTCGGCCTGTGGACTGAAGGGTCCCAGGTTCGATTCCGGTCAAGGGCATGTACCTTGGTTGCGGGCACATCCCCAGTAGGGGGTGTGCAGGAGGCAGCTGATCGATGTTTCTCTCTCATCGATGTTTCTAGCTCTCTATCCCTCTCCCTTCCTCTCTGTAAACAATCAATAAAATATATTTAAAAAAACAAACAAATTGAACATAATTAAAGCATAGTGATTAATCACAAAAACAATATGTAATTAATTATATATGTGTTTTCTGATGGTCTTAGGCGACCCCTGTGAAAGTGTCATTCGACCCCCAAAGGGGTCGCGACCCACAGGTTGAGAACCGCTGCTGTAGAGTCAGAAAGCTTTCTGAAGGAAGTTGCTTATAAACTGAAATCTAAAGGATGAGTAGGAATAAACCATTTGAAGAGAGGTATTGATAAATATCCTGGGCAGAGAGATACCAAATATATTCAAAGGTTTAACTTTGCTGGTTCCCCTAGGTTGAGAAGGAGGACTAGGCTAGGGAGGTGTGGGCTGAAAGCAGCCCTGGGGAGGTGCTATGACTTTAGTAGAGTTTTTTCAGGGGAAGAAACTTGACCCAAATTTTGTTTTTACCAAGGGACTGAAGAAATAATTTTCAAGGTTATTAAGAATGGAGGAATCCTCTTCCATGTATTTTCTTCTTCTAGCTTTATTTCTTTACTAGAGGCCAGGTGCACAAATTAGTGCATGAGTGGGGTCCGGCTGGCCCACCCCGATCAGGGCCAATGGGGCCGGGCCGGCTGTGGGAAGGGGCCACGGGCGATTGGCCAGCCAGCCCTGCCCCTGATCAGGGTGGGGGGGCTGATTGGGAGCAGGGCTGGCCGGCCCCGCCCCTGGTCGAACTCCCGATTGAACTCCTGGTCGAGGGGACAATTTGCATAGTAGGCTTTTATTATATAAGATTTTGCTGTGAGGTCCCTTTTCCCTATTGTCTAATTTTTATTGTCCTTTAAGGTTTCCTTGGCAATTTTATTTCTGAGTTAATTAATTGACTAAGTAAAAGTTTATGTTCTTTTATAAAAGTACATAGGGATAAACAGAAATATCAATACTGGAATACATTCATTTACCTCTGAACCAATTTGCCAGACTATTAAAACAAAAATATTTAACCATAAATATTGGGTTTTTTTGGAAAGGCATTCAGAAAATCTTAGCATCTCCTTTGTATATGGTGTGATACTGCTCCCTACTCAGTAATAATTACAGTGATTAAATTAATATAATTTGAGGTTTAGTGGAGACATTTTGCAGTTAAAAGGGTTTGTAAAACCTTTTCATAATTATGAGGAAGCAAAGTTATGTAGATGTTTAAAAGTTATTGAACTGTGGAACTCAAGACACAAAATGGTTTTGCTATATTGCTTATTCATATTTTAGGTCTAATTTATATCTATAATGTATGTTCTTCAAAATTAATTTGCTTTTCTAAAAAGAAATGTATTAGTACCTTAAATTTCCTTGGGGATTTTATGGTTTGTTAGTTAGTTAAACTTCCTTGCAGATTCTAGGGTAGGTTAGTTAGAAGTATGGTGGGTTAGTTAGAAGTAAAACCCTATGGTTTATGTTTGGAGATGGTAGTGACCATATCATTATTTTTGTGAAGATTATCCACATCTTCCCTCTGAGATCCAAATAGCCCTAGAATCACTTTCTTTCCTATGAGAGAATAGCTTCTTAACTATTTTGGGATGAGTTCTGTCCCTTTGAAAGTTTGTCCTGATCAATATGATAATGAGAGGAAGACAGTAGGTGTCTACTATTTCTATAAGTATCTTTATAATTAATGCAGGCACTAGAGAGTTAAACTTACTAAATTTGGTATATAAGTATTCAATATGTACAAATAAAAATAATGGTGTTTCTACAATCAAAGCTAATTTATTTTTTTGCCTCCTTAGCGCTGGCTGACAGAGCAGAGAGCTCAATGTCCTCATTGCCGGTAAGTGTTTTGCTATGATTATTTGTGTATTTGGAAAATAATAAGGTAATGCAGTTGGAGTGTGCCCTAATATTAATAAGATTCTTTCTGTAATCTGCTTCATTTCGCCTCTTTGTGAATACAGCTGAAAAGAAAATAATCTCTCTAGATACAGCATAAACTAATTTATCTTAGAATTATTTAGAAAGCATTAAATGGTTTACCTTATTTTAGAAAATCATGTTTAACTTAAAAAGGTTTCTGGTTTTAAAAAATCTTAATAGTATAGGTAAATATTTTTTAAAAGACTTCTTATTCTGTTATTCTTCACCTAGTCTTGTCATGAAATAACACTTATTATTGGGGTTGTTTCTAATCTTCTAAACATTTTTCTATCTGTGTACTGACATATCTACACTAATAAAAGAGAAACATGCAAATTGGTGTCACTCTGCTATGCCCACCAGCCAATCACAGTGACTATGCAAATTAACCCAACAAAGATGGCAGTTAATTTGCATGTGCAGGCACGGAGTGAAGACTGAAGAGGCTTGACTTCTCTGCTGCAGAGAAGCCAAGCCTCGCTGCGGCCGTAGCGGAGAAGCCAAGCCTCGCTGTGGCCGGACCAAAGGCCTGGGTCCCGGGTGCCGAAGGAAAACTGGTGCCAGCAGCCAAGGGAAGCAAGGCCTAGTGTGTGAATCTTCGTGCAGTGGGCTTCTGGTATATAAATAAAAGGCTAATTAGGCAAATTGTCGCTGCGGGAGTTTGACCAGGAGACTGGGAGTTTGATTGCTCACTATGACGTGTGCTGACCACCAGGGGGCAACGAGGGCCAGCCGGCAGCTGGGAGGCCCCAATCGACCCTGATTGCTGGGTAGGCCTAGGGACCCTACCCGTGCATGAATTTCGTGCACCGGTCCTCTGTGTGTGTGTGTGTGTGTGTGTGTGTGTGTGTGTGTGTGTGTGTATTTGTATTTTCTTGCAACACAAATGATATAGTACTGTTTTGTTTTTTAAATATAAAATATAGTGTTATCTTTCTTGATGTACACATGTCATTTAAATTTAAAAATGTTTGATTTATTTATTATGTGACCATATGTTATTTATTTATGCTTATATTGAGATACATTTAGATTGTTTCCACTTTTGGTAATTTCAAATTATGATGCCAGATTGTGCTGAAGAATAGGTTTTTACCGTTTTACATTCCTAATAAAAGATACAAAAGTGCCTTTTCCTCACATTCCTGCCAATATTGTATATTACCAATCTATCTTTTTTTGTCCTTTTGCTAGATGAAAATTGTATCTCTTTTTTTAAAATACATTTTTAAAATTGATTTCAGAGAGGAAGGGAGAGGGAGAGAGAGATAGAAACATCAATGGTGAGAATCATTGATTGGCTGCCTCCTGCACAGCCCCTACTGGGTATTGAGCCCACAACCTGGGCTTGTGCCCTGACTGGGAATCAAACCATGATCTCCTGGTTCATAGGTCCACAGTCACTGAGCCATGCTAGTCGGGCTAGAATGTGTTTGTCTTAGAAAATTAACTCAAATTCCTGAATTAAAAAAAAATATATATATATCTTCTCTCTAGTGCTCCACTCCAGATACGAGAACTAGTAAACTGTCGTTGGGCAGAAGAAGTAACACAGCAGCTTGATACTCTTCAACTCTGTAGTCTCACCAAACATGAAGAAAATGAAAAGGACAAGTATGTCCTCAATTTCTTTAAGTATTTTATATATTTTGGTACATGTTATTTTAATGAAACTATTTAAAGGTATTTTATTTTTTTTAGTTTTGTAGGTGAACACAGATAGTTTTCATTTGATGTTGTGTGGGTATCACTATTTGGAAATATCTTTCTAACTCTTGAATGGCTTCTTTTATCAGAGGCTTTCATAAAAGGTGTGGAACTGCCACAGTTGCTGATGTGCTAATAATCTCTCTTCTTTGCCTCTTGATGCCTACTGGCTCTCCTTGGGTTTGCTGAAGTTGCCTATAGGTCATTGATTAAGAATTGTTCTGATAAATTTCCTGTATTTTAAAAGATGTATCCTAAATTTGGTGGTGTGGAAATCCTGCTAAATTAGCCTCCAGACAGTATCTAATCTGCTGTTTCTTCATACTTTCACTGATTTTCTATTGGATATTCATATTACTTACAAATGAGAATATAAAATGTAGACCTATTTAGGTATTTTCTCTAAGCTTAATGATGAAGAGAACAAATGCAACACTGTCTCTTTTAAAGGCACACTGTTTAAAGGCAAGAGGAAACTTTTTAAAAAATATATATATATATTTTTATTTCAGAGAGGAAGGGAGAGGGAGAGAGAAACATCAATGATGAGAGAGAATCACTGATCAGCTGCCTCCCACATGCCCCCTGCTGGGAATCGAGCCAGCAACCCCAGGCCTGTGTCCTGACCAGGAATCGAACCACGACCTCCTTGTTCATAGATGGATGCTCAACCACTGAGCCACACTTGTCAGGCTGCAAGAGAAAACTTAAAAAAAAATTTATTGTGGTAAAATACACATAACATTACTATCTTAACCATTTTTAAGTGTACAGGTCAGTAGTGTTAAGCATGTTCACATTGTCACCCAACTAATCTCCACTAGGGCTGCCATAATAGAGTAGCATAGACTGGGTGCCTTAAACAGTATTGGAGGCTGGAAGTTCAGGGTCAAGGTATTGTCATGTTTGCTTTCTGGTGAGACCTCTCTCCTTGACTTGGATATGGCTTTTTCTCTCTGTGTTCTTACATGGCCTTTTCTCTGTTTGCATACACTTTTGGCATCTTTTCTTGTCAGGACATCAGTCCTATTGGGTTAGGCCTCTGCCCTTATAACCTTATTTAACATCCTGAAAGTCTTTGTTCCAAGTACAGTTACCTTAGGGCTCTCAACATAGGAATTTGGGACATGGCGAATGCAGTTCAGTTAATAACCATGTACATCTTCATTCCTTTGCATGTAGATCTCCAACTTAAGGGAAAATGTTTTATTTTATTTTATTTTTAAATTTTTTTTCTTGATTTCAGAGAGGAAGGGAGAGAGAGAAACATCAGTGATGAGGGAGAATCATTGATTGGCTGCCTCATGCATGTCTTCCACTGGTGATCAAGCCCATAATGTGCCCTCACTGGGAATTGAACCATGACCTCCTGGTTCATAGGTCAGTGCTCAACCACTGAGCAACACTGGCTGGGCTATTTTATTTTTAAAATATGGAATGCTTCATGAATTTGTGTGTCATCCTTGTACAAGAGCCACACTAATCTCTTCTGTATTGTTCTAATTTTAGTATATGTGCTGCCAAAGTGAACATGGGAAAACTTTAAAATTGAGTTGATTTTTCAGAAGGATCTGGTATTACTTTGTGCAGTTAATCACGTGTCTTATTGTTAGCATTGACCGCATGTAGGAAAATTATTTGTGCGTACATACATGCTCATGTAGATACAAACACATAATCTGATTTGTCCAGAAATGTAGTAGCAGGCTAGAATTTATTACCTATAGCAGTAGTTTTCAGTTGGTGTGCCGCAAGAATTTTTTAAATGTGCAGTAGCTGACTATTTAGTTAGGGGCACTGACCTGTTTTCCCCTACATTGTCAAATAAAAAAATTACAACAGCTAACATAATAGTAACAATAACCGTTCAGTGTGAATAAATCAAAACTATACCTATTTTTTCTGTCAGAGCAGCAAAAAAGAAATTTTTTGGTGTGCTGCAGAATTTTAGCAATTTGTGTGCCATGAGATAAAAAGGGTTGAAAATTTCTGATCTATAGTAATATTGGGAAATGATGTTATATTTGTGCTTTATTCAAAAACTAGTCTGTATTTTTCATGTGATTTCAAGTTCTTATAGATTAATGAAAACAGTATTTTAAGAAAATTGTAATTCTTTAGCTTAATTTGCAGAAGAAACTATGGAACACATTTTATATTGTTTCCTGAGATATAATTGTTTAAAATTGACCAACCTGTTTACCCAAACTTAGGAATTTGTTAAGGTAATTATTTTCCAATTTTAGTTTAATTTATAACTGTATTTTCTTTTCATATTATATAGATGTGAAAATCATCATGAAAAACTTAGTGTATTTTGCTGGACCTGTAAGAAGTGTATCTGCCATCAATGTGCACTTTGGGGAGGAATGGTGAGCAGAACAAATTATTTTTGCTTATAGACTAAAAGCACTGAAATACTTGTTTGATTTAGATAAGAAAATAATATTTTACTTTGTTTATAGAATGAAAATTAAATTATTTTGCTTTATAGCAGAAGGTATCATTCCTTCTGTTATGTCAGAAAAACAGCCTTTGTGGGAGATTTTGATGTGGGATGTGTACCCCCTACATAAATATTTTCTTTTAATTATAAAATGTATATATTCATCTGCAAATCTTTAGTTGTAGGATCAAGGTCTTTTTAAATTATTTTATTTTATTTCATTAAAGTTCAGTTGATCTCATGTCCTGGCCACAATTTTTCAATTTTGGTTTATTTAAAATGGAACAACACTTTGTGAAAAATATGAATGTAAACTTCTAGATCTTAGGATTTGTTTTTTAGGTAATTAATTTTTTTTTAATTTTTAAAATTTTTATTTTTTCCAATCTAATTCAAAGTAGTTTTTTAAAGTTATCTATCTTTATCAAGTCTAAAACATTGAAGTTAGTTTTCCTATAAGTAGCTTTTTATTTTAATTTGTGTCCTGTTGTTTAATTAAAATTAAATTATATACTTGCAATAATAAGTACAATAAGCATAAATAGGTTTGAGAATAAACAGTAGATTCTTGGTGGAAAAAGTTAGTCGTAGTGGGAGCAGACAGCTAGAGGTGTCTGTTAGGTCATCAGTTTGCATCTTTTTGGGAGAGAATGACAGGCAAGTTGGTTGAGTAGAACTCAATTCAGAGTTTTCTGTAGGTATTTGTTTTTTAATATATTTTTATTGATTTCAGAGAGAGAGAGAGAGAGAGAGAGAAACATCAATGATGAGAGAGAATCATTGATTGGCTGCCTCCTGCACGCCCCCTACTGGGGATCGAGCCCACAACCTGAGCATGTGCCCTTGACTGGAATTGAACCTGGGGCCCTTCAGTCCACAGGTAGACGCTCTATCCGCTGAGCCAAACCAGCTAGAGCTTTTCTGTTGGTATTTGAATACTCCTGTGCCGACTAGAAAAAATTCATGTCCCACAACTTAGTACTTTAAATAAATGTTTCTTTGTAAGAAGCAATGGAAATAGTATTTTTCATATTTTAAGTGGACATGCAAAAATCCATGTCATTTTTTTCTTAGAGACCATGGCTGGGTGTTTTGGTTGAACAAGACAGTTCTTTTTTCTTTCTTTTTAAAAAATGTTTTGATCTTAAAGAGAGAGGAAGGGGGAGAGAGATAGAAACATCAATAAGAGAGAAACATAGATCAGCTGCCTCCTGCATGCCCCCTCCTTTGGATCGAGCCATCCACCTGGGCATGTACCCTGACTGGGAATCGATCCGGTGGCCTTTTGATGCATGGCCCGAGGCTCAACCAATTGAGCCATACCGGCTGGGCAAATAAGACAATTCTAATAAGTACTTTTCTGTTACAGGAAATTCCTTGTAATAGAAATTTAAGTTCTACTTACCAGTCCAGAGATTGTGATGAAATACAGTACATAAATTGGATAGGAAATTGATTTTAGGCTGTTAGCTTTAAAAAGTTGTTCTTTGAAAACAACTGGATTTGTAAGGCTAAATTGTATGGGCCTTCTGTCTCTGCAGTAACTCTTTGTGGCATGAAGAATGGGTTTATTGCTTTTGCTAATAGTGTACCATGGGTCTTTTCCTCAAATGTCTTTCTAATTTATTCATTTGTGTTAGAGACTAGGTATTCAGTGATTAACAAGATAGATATCAAATAACTAGCTATGTACTTAATTGTTATAATAGATATTAGGAATAAGTATACAGTCTGATAAGAATGGATAACTATGAGACCTGACCCTCTAATCCTGAGCTAAGTTCCAAAGGATGAGTAGGAGTTAGGAGGTGGAGAGTTTGGGAGGGAAGATGAAGGAGAATTATTTTTGAATAAGTACGAGTTACTTTTGCAAAGGCCTGATGGGAGGACAGAAGGCTAGTGCTGATCAAGAGAAGAGTGACAAATGAGGTTGTGTCAGCTGCTTTGAGCCATGATTAAGGATCTTGGTTCTTTCTAATGAGTGAAGATTTCTAGATCAGTGTAAACATTTTGCTTATGATCTTTATCTACAATTGAAGGATTTTTTACATGGGCCAAGTGACTTTAAGCAAGCTGTGACTTATTTTAACAAAGGCAGCCAAAAAAATAAAATTCATTTGGAAATACTTGCCAGTATATTAGTGTTCATAGAGTGTTAATAAAGGAATGTAAATGCAGATGCGATATATGAAAATGTTTTTTTTTAACTATTTTATTAATTTAAATAGCACGGTGGACATACCTTTAAACCTTTGGCGGAAATTTACGAGCAGCATGTTACTAAAGTGAATGAAGAGGTAGCTAAACTTCGTCGGCGTCTCATGGAACTAATCAGCTTAGTTCAAGAAGTGGTAAGACTACTACTAAAAGATGATTATCCTTTTTATAGTCTATACTATGTAATATATATTTTTATAATATAAATCAATCAGATGTTGAAATTAAGATTTAAAATAATTTTAGGCATATATATATTTTTAAATATATTTTTTGTTGATTGCAGAGAGAAAGGGAGAGGGAGCGAGAGAGAGAGAGAAACATCAATGATGAAAGTCATTGATTAGCTGCCTCCTTCCTGCACACCCGACACTGGTGATCAAGCCTGCAACCTGGGCATGTGCCCCGACCGGAACTGAACCGTAACCTCCTGATTCATAGGTCAATATTCAACCACTGAGCCATGCCAGCCGGGCAAAATTTGAAAATTTGATAGGATATATTTATAGTCACCCTAGCCGAGGAATTAGAGTCTAAACCCCTAGCCTGTTCTGTAGTTGAAGCCAGAGAATTGTCTCTTATGCAGAAATAGAGAATCAGTTAATGAGTTAAATAAGCCTGTTTTGTTATACACTCAATATTGACTTTTAGAAACTCATTAAATTATTCATTCTTTGGGCCCCCAGCTTTTGGGGTTTCTGCTGCAAAGGAATGAATTATTTCTGATGTCCTGAATTCGAACTCTGCAGAATTAAAAGAGTAATATTTAACAGTACTCTTTAGATGCTGTATGGGTCAAACAGTTTTGGTGAGCTATTTACCATTTATAATAGTTCTATGGGAAAATTCATTAAGCTTCAAACATTTAAATACTATATATACTTTTGGAATATATTTTGTTTAAAGTTGCCAAATTGATAATTGTTATAAATGAGATTTGTGGACCATTCCTAACTTAAGATGTCATCTTTATCCCCCTTCAGGAATAAAGTTTCAGATCATTATAACTTTTTTTATACAGAAAGTAATGTTTTTGAGTTGTATGTATACTATCTACAAAATTATTTGGCCTTTACCTTTTTTTTTTCTGTTTTCTCTTGGCAATATTATAATGTGGTTATTAGGAAGAGTATTCTAGGTTGCGATGCTTACTGCTTGCATTTATACTAATAGTAAGTATAGGAAATGATGCTTTTTTCTGAGTTTCGCTGTTAAAAAATCTCTATGTACTCTGCAGTCTTTGAAAATCTATTTTTTTCTTCTAAAAAAAGAAAACTTCTGAAGATATGGTTTAAAATTTTTTAAAATTATTTTAGGGTTTTGCACGATGTGAAATGGCTTTAGTAAACTTTTGGTTTGAAATGGTTTCATATAAGAGATATAATTGGGGCTTTGAGTATGTGTTCTGTATGTTACCTAAACCAATTTTTGTAATTACATACCTATCTTTTATTTATACTTTATTTATTTATTTATTGTTTATGGTTTATTGTTTATTTAAAACTATTTTTGTTGATTTCAGAGAAGAAGGGAGAGGGAGAGAGAGATAGAAACATCAGTTATGAGATTTATCAATTGGCTGCCTCCTGCATGTCCCCTACTTGGTTCATAGGTTGACGCTCAACCACTGGGCCACACCAGCCCAGCTTTATTGTTTAATTTTAAGAAATATATTTCCTGATTCATTTCAATGTACAATGTTTTTAAGGCCATGATTTTTCTATGATATATGAATTATTAAAAAGGATTATTAGTTTATGCTTTTTTTTCTTTAATTTATTATTTTTTTGTTGTAATCCTCACCTGAGGATATGTTTATTGATTTTACAAAGAGGAATGGGGGGCGGGGGCGGGGAGAGAGAGAGAAACATCGATGTGAGAGAGAAAAAACGATTGGTTGCCTGTCATATGTGCCCCAACTGGGTAATGAACCCCAAACGTAGGTGTGTGCCCAGACTGGGATTCTAACCTGCTACCTGTTTATTTTCTAGGAAAGAAATGTAGAAGCTGTAAGAAATGCGAAAGATGAGCGTGTTCGGGAAATTAGGAATGCAGTGGAGATGATGATTGCAAGGCTAGACACACAGCTGAAGAATAAGCTTATAACACTAATGGGTGAGTGTTTTTCTATGCTGCTGGAGTAACTGGGGCTCAGGTACAATCTTTGAAGAGAAAAGGTTGGTGAGTTCTTTAGGCTAGGGAAAGATTGGTTTAAAAATAAAAGTTCCTCCTATTAAGTGTTCCCCTTATCAAAAACATTACTCCAAATTAATATAACTTCTATTAGCCTCACTGGAAATGCTTCCAGCTCTTCAGACTTTGTGATTTAAAAAGACAATGGTCTGATTAGGCTAGTATGCCTATCTTGTTAACTTTCTTTTTAACCTATGAAGCAGTTTCTTTCTTCCTTTTTGAGAATAATTTCTGTAATAATGATTCCTTTATTCCTGTGTTTTTCCAGTTTCTTGAGAACTTTGGGGTGTTCTTTTTTTTTTTTTTTTTTTCTTAAATATATTTTATTGATTTTTTACAGAGAGGAAGGGAGAGGGATAGAGAGTCAGAAACATCGATGAGAGAGAAACATCGATCAGCTGCCTCCTGCACACTCCCCACTGGGGATGTGCCTGCAACCAAGGTACATGCCCTTGACCGGAATCGAACCTGGGACCCTTGAGTCCGCAGGCCGATGCTCTATCCACGGAGCCAAACTGGTTAGGGCTGGGGCATTCTTTTTTTACAGGTTCTTCTTATGTTCAAAGAACATAACGTTTTGCTGACAGTAAACATAAATATCTGTCCCACTTACTTTTTTTTTTATGCCACACTTAAGTTTTGTGGAGGAATTATTTCAGAATAGTTGACTGAGTAAAAAGTTTACTATTCTAAACTATTATAGCCCTTTTGGAAGAAGCAATAACATTAATTTCTTTACAAAGTATATTGTCATTGTATATTTCTTTTTTTTTTTTAAATATATTTTATTGATTTTTTTACAGAGAGGAAGGGAGAGAGATAGAGAGTCAGAAACATCGATGAGAGAGAAACATCGATCAGCTGCCTCCCGCACATCCCCCACCGGGGATGTGCCCGCAACCCAGGTACATGCCCCTGACCAGAACCGAACCCGGGACCCTTCAGTCCACAGGCCGACGCTCTATCCACTGAGCCAAACCGGTTTCGGCATATTTCTTAAATGAATTTAATAAAGTCTAAATTACATTTTGTTTAAAACTGTAGTTAGGGTTGGTTCTGAAATCCTCTTGTCAGAGCTATTAGAATGTAGAATCAACCTCTTAAAGCTCTGAGAAAAATTTTTAGGATAGCTGTAATGAAGTTTTGCTTTCCTAAAATTAATTTCTTGTAATTGAATGTATTTCGTGAAAGTTAATTTTATTATTAAAACAATAATGAACATGAGTATTGGTGTTTTGCTATTTTTAAATAGGTCAGAAGACTTCTCTAACACAAGAAACAGAGCTTTTGGAATCCTTACTTCAGGAGGTAGAGCACCAGGTGATGAAATATTAAATGTAATGAAGTCTTTACCCTTTTTTTCCATATGCTTTAAAATTCTTTTTAATAGCGATTATATAAGATCAAAAGATCTTGTGATCTATGTGCTATACTAGGGATTTTTATGAAATAGGATTTAGCTGATGCTTCTCATGTTTTCTCCATCAGGTTTGGGAACTAAATAAAATTAAGATTTATTCTGTTTTGTAAGAATGGTGCATAGCATCTAAGTCTCTCACTTTGTGACTTAAGTGGTGCCTTTGAGACAGAATATTATTGCCAATTACCTATATATACTATGTGATTTTTATTATAAACTTAGTGTTTTTATTAACTACGGCCCGCGGGCTGGATTCGGCCCGTTTGAAATGAATAAAACTAAAAAAAAAAAGACCGTACCCTTTTATGTAATGATGTTTACTTTGAATTTATATTAGTTCACACAAACACTCCATCCATGCTTTTGTTCCGGCCCTCCGGTCCAGTTTAAGAACCCATTGTGGCCCTCGAGTCAAAAAGTTTGCCCACCCCTGGTATAGAGTTTATATTTTAGTTTGCTGGTAGGTGAGTGTTAAGTATATAGTGAATGAATAAATAATTGTGTAGTGTTACATAACTATTTGGTATACTCGTCTTTTTTTTTTTAACGTGTCACTCTTGTGCAGGGACTATACTAATCTTTTCTGTATTGTTCATATTTTAGTATGTGTGCTGCTAAAGAGAGCACAATATTCATTTGCCTTTCCTTTTTTTTTTTTTTTGTTTGTTAATCCTTACCCAGGGATATTTTTTCCCATTGCTTTTTAGAAGTGGAAGGGGGGGTACAGTTAGAGAGAAACATCGATGTGAGACACATTGATTGGTTGCCTCCTGCATGCACCCCGACCAGGCCCGGGATTGAGCTTGCAACCAAGGTATGTGCCCTTGACAAGAATTGAATCCTTGACCCTTTAGTCTGTGGGCCGACACTCTAACCATTGAACCAAACCAGCTAGGGCTGCTTTTCCTTCTTAATTGCTGAGTAGTATTTTATTGTATGTTATATACCATGATTTGTTTTTTCATTCAGCTATTTATGGCTGTTTGGGTTGTGCTTTTTTTTTTTTTTTTTTTTTGGCTTTTACAAATAAAGCTACAATTGATATATGAGCAAATTGCAAAGTAATTTTGCTCAAAAAAGGAGGCAGACATAAAATGAGTACGTAATGTGTATGATTCCAATTACATAAAACTCCAGAAAATGGGAACTTATCTATAATGAAAGAAAGCAGATAGGAGGTTGTCTGGAGGGGGAAGGAAACAGGAGAGCTTACAAACAGGCACAAACAAATTTTGGGAGATAATGGTAAAGTTCACTATCTTGACTATGGTGATGGCTTCACAGGTATATACATTTGTCAAAACTTAATCAAATTACACACTTTAAATACATGCAGTTTATCTTATATCATTTATGTCAGTTATTCCTCAAAAAAGTTTGTTTTTTTTTTAAAGCACATACCTGGGTTGCTGGTTTGATCCTTTCGGGGCATGTACAGAAGGCAACCAATCGATGTTTCTCTATCACATCAATATTTCTTTCTCTTTCTCACTCCCTCTCCCCTCCCTGCCTCTATCCCCCTTACTCTTTACTCTTTCTCTAAAGCAGTGGTTCTCAACCTGTGGATCGCGACCCCTTTGGCGGTTGAACGACCCTTTCACAGGGGTCGCCTAAGACCATCCTGCATATCAGATATTTACATTACGATTCATAACAGTAGCAACATTATAGTTATGAAGTAGCAACGAAAATAATTTTATGGTTGGGTCACAACATGAGGAACTGTATTTAAAGGGCCAGAAGGTTGAGAACCACTGCAAAGTCAATAAAAACATATCCTTGGGGGAGGCTTAAACAATAAAAATTTATTTTCATTGTTCTAGAGCAGGGGTGGGCAAACTTTTTGACTCGAGGGCCACAATGGGTTCTTAAACTGGAGGGCCGGAACAAAAGCATGGATGGAGTGTTTGTGTGAACTAATATAAATTCAAAGTAAACATCATTACATAAAAGGGTACGGTCTTTTTTTTTTTAGTTTTATTCATTTCAAACGGGCCGTAGTTTGCCCATGGCTATTCTAGAGGCTGGTTTACATCAAGATATTGGCAGGTTTGGTTTCCCCTGAGGTCCTTCAGTTTGGTTTGTGAATGGCTGCTTTCTCTCTGTTTTCTAAAGACCTTATCTCCAAACTAGAGGCCCGGTGCATGAAATTCATGCAAGGTAGTGTCCCTAGGGTTGGCCTGCGATCAGGGCCTCCCTTCCCAGGCTGCCCCCTGGTAGTCAGCACATGTCATAGCGAGAGATTGAACTCCTGGTCGAACTCCTGAGGGGACAATTTGCATATTAGGCTTTTATATATATATATATATATAGATAGATAGATAGATAGATAGATACTATTACATTCTGAGGAATTGGGACTGCAACATGAGTTTTGGGGAGACACAGTTTAGCTCTTAATAGTTTCCAAAGCTGTTTCACATTCAACTTCATGATTGTTAAACCCAGCAAAACAATCATAGATATTATTTCAGTTTTACAAATGAACTGACAGCATCATATAATTAGTTTGTAGCAGAACTAGAACTTTGAACTAGTTGTTTTGAATACAAATTAGTAGTCTTAACTACCATGCTTATTTTACTAAAGTTGGATTTATCACTTTTTTACCTTTGGCTGTTTCCCAAATCGATATAGCTTAAAACTTTTTGTGTGTGCATTACATCTTAATGTTTCTCTGGTCCCTGGAATACATTTTGAGAAAACCTATTTGAAGGCTATAAACCTATAGGAGTTTGTTCATTAGTATACCTAATGGCTTCACTGTAGTGCAAAGTATATTTGTAGTTTTTAAAAATTTGATTTACCCTAAGATATGAGGAGAGAAAAATGCTTTAAAATCAAATACACTTACTCCCTGACTATATTGTTTAGAATAGAAATAAATAACCTAGATTTTTTGTAGATTTTTTCATTCTAAAACCCACTTTAAGTCATTCTATTTTTTTAACCTCATTTTTTTCAGTATATAACCAAAACAATTTTTATTTGCCACTGAAGAGTAATTTTGTTTATTTAGTCAGGTACTTTTTTTCCTCACACAGTTACGATCTTGTAGTAAGAGTGAGTTGATATCTAAGAGCTCAGAGATCCTCATGATGTTTCAGCAAGTTCATCGCAAGCCCATGGCATCCTTTGTTACCACTCCTGTTCCACCAGATTTTACCAGGTATGACACAGTTTTTAAATTTCATTTTCATATTAAGTTTATGTGCAAATGCACATAATCGTTTTTAAAAAACGCTGTTTTTCTTTGCTTCATTTTTAAGGTTCTGTTTATAATAATGTGGTCTAGTGAACTTTATGCATATAAATCTGGTTTAAAAAAATTCTTGTGGACTTATACATTTTTTAGTGAAAAGAGAGGGTGGTAGTGAATTAGGAATTGGTTTCTTCCTAGATCTTCATCTTCCATACTATAGAGAAGAAACAATTGATCACATTTTATTTCATGTCTGTCCGTTCATTCCTTTTCTCAAATTAAGATATAATTGAAATAACATCCTGTTAGTTTCAGGATGATGTAATGATATAATATTTTATATACTGAGAAATGATACCACAATTAGTCTAGATTATATTTTACATCCATCACCATACATAGAAAACATTTTTTTCTTAAGACCTCTCTTAGTAGGTTTCAGATATGCAATACAGTGTTATTACTATAATCACCATGCTGTAAAATATAGTTCTATAAACTTGTTTTGTAACTAGAAGTTGGTACTTTTTGACCTCTCTTTTAAAGATTCCTCATATACATGAGATCATATAGCACTTTTCTTTCTGTCTGACTTGTTTTACTTAGCATAATGTTCTCAAGGTCCAGCCATGTTTTCTCATATCCATTCTTTTATTTACCTTTGAGTTTACTTATATCTTATTACACAGTGACTATAACTCATTTACATGTATGTTCTCAAAAGGAAAACACATAAAGCATGAAATGCCAAAAGATTTTAATGGTGATAAGATGTTATCTCCAGATCCTAAAAGATCTGGAAATAATAGTTGGTTGCTTTTTATGTATCTTTTTAGTTTTTACCCTGGGCAGTCTTAGAATTCTTCTGAACAGCATATTTTTTTAAGCGTGTTTAAATTACCCTGTGATGTTAAGAGTGGTGGTTCTTAACACTGGTTGTATGTTAGATTCACTTGGGATTCTTTTGGAAATTTACCACTGTTGGCCCATACCCCCAGGACATTTGAAATAAAATCTCTGTGAGCATATTAGTTTGCTTGGATTGCCATAACGAAATACAACAAATGGATGGCTTATACAACAGAATTTTATTTTCTCAGTTCTGGGGTGAAGAAGTCTAACATCAAAGTGCTAGAAAATGTGATTTCTGGTGAGGCTCTCCTCTTGTCTTGTAGACAGCTGGCTCCTTGCTCTGTCCTTAACATGACCTTTTATCTGCATGCATAGAAAAGGTATCTTTCTCTGGTGTCTTTTCCTCTTCTAAAGAAACGAGGCATATTGTTTGTTAATTAACAAACCCTGGTTAGGGTTAGGGTCCTGCCCTTATTACATCATTCAACCTTAAATACCTCCCCAAAGGTCTCCAAATATAGTCATGCTGGAAGTTAGGGCTTCAACATATGAATTTGGGGGGACATAATTCAGTCTATAACATTGGCTACAGATAGGAGTTTGTAGTCTTTTTTTATTTTTTTAACTCTCAGCTTATTCCTAAGATGAGAGGTTAAACCACTGCTTCAGAGAAATATATTGGGGTGACAGACTTTAGTTCATCTTAAACTTTAGAGATGGCTTATGAAATACTATCAAGCATTTTGAGAACTGTGGTACATTTAAGAAACAGCCTTATGACTTGTATGCATGCATATAGGCCTAACCAATGGACACAGACACCAGGGGGGTGAGGGGGGTAATGGGGGGATAAGGACACATATGTAATACCTTAATCAATAAAGAAAAATTTAAAAAGGAGCCGCCCTATAAAGAGGTTCATGTGTTTAGCTGCCTTTTTCTCTAATATGTGGTTGTACTAGACTGGTGTAAGCCAGGGTTTTTTAACCTAGGCATTGATGACATTTTGAGCTGGATGAGTTTTTGTGGGTTGGAGGGAGCTTTCCTGAATAATGTAGGATGTGACACCAGAAACACTTCTCCCTTTTTAGTTGTGACAAAAACATTTCCAGAATTTTCTTGGGGGCAAAATTGACCCTGATTTAGAATCACTGATGTAAGCCCTTGTTCCTGATCACAGGTGCAATCCTGAGGATCATGACCACCCACAGTTCTATAAACAGAAGGACAAAGTTTTTCTGATGAGAACTCTGGGAGTTCTCACTGATTGATGTCTTTGTTTCCTTCTGAATTAACAAACCAGATACAGTAGTCATATTTTACTAAAACACTGAATAATTTTAAAAGAGCTGGGTGTGTGCTATCATTAAGTAAAACTGGGTGAACTAAGATGTTCACTAATATTCCAAGGCTGCCTTTTTGATAATGTGGTCAGCCATTTCAGTTTTGAAGATTTTTTAAAAACCCATTCAATCATCAGTGGAATGAAACCAGTTTTGGCATAAATATCATAAATAAAAATGTAGTTTTCAGTTCAAATTATGCTACACAGATCACCTGTGTCAGAGTCAGCTGTAGTGTTTTACCAAAAGGTGTATTCCCAGCCCTGTTCTCTGACGATCTTTGGTGGTGGTATCCAGAAAAGGAATCATGAGCATCCTAAGTAATTCTGCACTGAGGTTTGGATTCATTGATATAGCAGGCAACTCTGCTTTATTATACTTCTTGAGTATCAATCTCTGTCATATGCAGTGATTGTTTTGGTTTCTGTTCCCTTTCTAACTGCCCATGGGTCTCAGGACCTTGACAATCCCATGCTTTCACTACCTTCTTTTTTTTGGGTGTAGATGGAAGGGACTGAAATTGGGAGGGAGGAGGCAGAAGGCACATCGATAAAGAAGAAACCACCAAAAATTTTTTTTCTTTTTTTTACAAATCTGATAATTAGGGAGCTTCCCATGGGTGAAGGTCCCTGTAGTACTCCCTCTCACCAGGAATGCTTATTCTTACTGGAAATTTTGTCTTATAACTGAACCATAATTTTTATTATAAACTTAGTTTATGAGTGGCAATCAGTACACAGGAAACAGGTATGTTCATATGTTGGTGCATTGATCAGCAAAGAAAGAGGGCCAAATAAGAAAGGCCACATTTATTGACATTAAGTTACAGACCAAAGTTTAGATGTGCAAAGCAGTGGTGAATGTTCTAAGTTTTAAGATCATGGGACTGGGTGAAATTCCATCAGTTGATGATTAGTGATGGAGCCACAATGGAGAATAAAAGGTCATTAAGCAAATGCAATGTTATTTATTCAAGACTATGTGCTCAGTGCTGTTGTGGGTGCTGCAAAGGAGACATGGAAGAGGAACTAATTTACTGAGTATATATTTCAAATTAAATAGTAGAGAATTGTAACTTAAATTCCAGTAGGTGTTACTCAGTTATATACTTTTCTGTCAGAAATTCTGAAAAGACTAGTGTGGTCAAAACTTTATAATCTAGAAAGAAATCATAGAAGATCTTGAAACATATTTAGGATGTGATAGGAGCTGCTATATTTGGAGGATAGCAAGGAAATAATTTCAACCAGAATTTGTAGGACTATTGGTGGGGTGTTGTAGGAAATAAGACTGTATAGTTGCCCTCAGGTAGAACATAAAAGATAAGAATTTTTTGTTTAAAGTAATAAATTCAGTCATCTTAAAGACCAGAGTAGAGGAGGTAAAGAAATAAAGAAAACTATGAGAAGATAAAGCTGTACCTTACTTGCAAGCCAAGTGGTTGACATTGGCACAATTTCAGATAACCTCTAAAGGACATGAAAAAAGATGTGAGCTATTATAAAATAAACAATAATGAATTTTTTTAATCTATATTTTTACTGGCAAACCACTAATTTTTTCTTAATATATTTTTATTGATTTCAGAGAGGAAGGGAGAGGGAGAGAGAGATAGAAACATCAATGATGAGGGTCATTGATCAGCAGCCTCCTGCATGCCCTCTACTCGGCATCGAACCCGAAACCCAGACATGTGCCCTTGACTGGAATCGAACCTGGCACTCTTCAGTCCGCAGGTTGACACTCTATCTACTGAGCCAAACCAGCTAGGGCACAAACCACAAATTTTTTTAGGCACTATAATAGTGTGAAAATGGTATGGATGGATCTTACATCTTATTTTGGTAATCACAAATTTTCATGAATTGAACTTCAGTAAGTAGATCAGAAGATGTGAATGGCTTACAGTTTTATCTTATTGGTAAATTTATAGTTTTATATATTAAATGTATAACACTGTGTTACAGTACTGTGTATGGCAGTGTCTGTATCATAAAAGTTTTAGTGACTGTGACTCTGGTATTCTAATGAAAATGCTACAGACTATTCTCATGATATAAGGATATTTAGCAGCCAGGTGGTCTATCATTGTGCCTACCTTATGTGATCATAGTTCATTTCTCTTTGGAGAAGCCCTTATGACACTAAAGTTGCCTGGGGTAATCTTGCTTTGCCAAGAACTGTTAATGTGCTAGTCCATCCTAAGGCTTGCCCCTTTTGTGATTATGTATTCTTATCCTATAATATTGCTTAGGTTTATTTCCTAGTAAAAATTCTCTTTAGGGTCTCTCAGTATTCCTCATAATTTGTTCTGAAGATGGAAGTTTGGGAATTTATTGTGATGTCTTTTGTTTTTGTTGTTTCTTTTGGTTTTTAAATCTGTTTATATTGGTTCTATATTTCAGGTTTCTAGCCTAAGCACCAGTTTCTTCCTTTTCCTATTTTATGAGTACTGTTTTGTCTCTTATACTTATTTTAATACTTAATTATATATTGCCTTGTAAAAAAAAGATACTTTATAAAGTATTTGTTTAGTCCTCTATTTCATTGCAAACATTTGATGTAATTAATCTTCTGATGGTTTTATGAATTTATTTGATTTTATGTTATTTTTAATAAGGATTAAAAATTTTCTTAGGGACTTAATTTAATAAAAATTTTAAGATATTATTGAGGGACTTTGTTTTTTAACTAAATGAAATATTAAACTTACAGAAGCCAAATAATAATTTGCCTTTCCTTTTTTTTTAGTGAATTAGTACCATCTTATGATTCAGCTACTTTTGTTTTAGAGAATTTCAGGTAAGAGTTTTTGACAACTCTGGATTTTAGTATGTGCCAGGAAGGTGTTATTCCAGGGTAGGATATAGACTAATGAACTGTGACACTCAGTGTTGTCTTAGAAGAAACAAATTTCCTATTAGAAGCATAATGGTCATTTGTTTGGATTGTATTATTTCTTCAGGACTAATTGCTTCTCTAGTCAGGGGAAGGGAGTCATGTCTTATACAATAGGGTCCACTTGGCCTTTGTTAAGATGGGGTGAATGGGATGATAGGGGTCGATGAGCCCTTACCCATCTTTAGAAATAAAAGTAATAATAACAAGTCCATTTGGGTCCATTTTCTCTGAACTCAAAGTGAGGACAAGAAGTCACTATTTTAAGCTTTGTAATTTACATGTTAATATTTTTTTTTAGCCATTATTGCTTTTTCTCTAAGATTATGAATGAAGAACGTAAAACAAAAAGGTCCTAGAAATTTGTCTTCAAGGACTGCATACCAAGAATATAAGGTCTTGCCTGGGGAGGAAAATTTCAGGAGGTGATAACCATCAAAATAAGGCAAACAGAATTTATACCACTTCATATATAATTTGTTTTTCTTATGGGATAATTTTGTGGCTAAAATATAAACTTTCCAAGACTTTCCCCACATACATTAAGATTTAGCACATGCTCTTTTTGTTTTTTCCATTTAAAAAAAAAGGATAATTATACTACCAGGGATATGAAAGAGAGACTTTTTTTTTCTTCTTTATTGGTGAAAGATTACTTGTTGAAATGGTAATTAAATTTAGTATACTTATTTCCCTTTTCTCTTAAATATCACAGTTTTGAGGTGACCTGAAACTGAAGATACTGCTGAATATTTCAGTATTATTAAATTTTATTTTATTTCTAAATGCAACTATATATAAATTTATCCAGTGTAATCTTGACTTGATTAGTCACCTTTTACTTTGTCCATGGCTTGAAGTAAGTAACATAAGTGGTTGGTTTTGGTTTTGATCTTTTGATTTGATTGGTTTTCTTTTAATTTAGCACTTTACGCCAGAGAGCAGATCCTGTTTACAGTCCACCTCTTCAAGTTTCAGGACTTTGTTGGAGATTAAAAGTTTACCCAGTAAGTTTTTCCTATTTTTAATAATTCTTTTAAACCGAAGATCTTTCTTTCAGGGTTCTGTAGTACACTGGTTCACTTTTTTGGTGGAGTAAGAAAGACAATTTTAATGTTTCTTTATAAGTTCTATTACTAATTCTACAGAAAAGTGAATTAAATATGAACAGTATGAATCCAGACATTGTTGACTCTTATTTTTTGTTTGTATGAAGATTCTTGTCTTCAGAAGACATGTTTAAAATTCTTATCTTAAAAGAGTTTTAAAAAATAAAATACAGAAAGCCATCAGAGCACACGTATGCTAATTGCATACTCATTGTAAATTTCAGTATGTTCCCTTGATCTATGTATTTTCTGTAAATTGGCAGCTGGATTCAGTGGCATTATGAGATACATAGTTCATTCCTATGGCAAGAATGTAAGTAGTGCTGGTTTTTTAAATCACATGATGTCTAGTCGCATCTCTTTGTGATATTGGCAGCTATTGATGCTCATTGCCTATATCACTCAAAACAGTGATATTCTCTGCCCTGACCGGTTTGGCTCGTGGATAGAGCGTCGGCCTGCGGACTCAAGGGTCCCAGGTTCGATTTCAGTCAAGGGCATGTACCTTGATTGTGGGCACATCCCCAGTGGGGGGTATGCAGGAGGCAGCTGATCGATGTTTCTCTCTCATCGATGTTTCTAACTCTATCCCTTTCCCTTCCTCTATGTAAAAAATCAATAAAATATATTTTAAAACAAAACAACAACAACAAAAACTGTGATATTCTCATTTTATGGGGTTTTGTTTTTTTTACTTATTAGTTGTCATACTTTTATAAAGAGATACTTTCCTTTATTATTTGATTAATCAATAACAGTTCATTTAGAAGAGGCAGGATTCTTTCCTGTTATTTACCAGTTTTCCATATTCTCTGAAAGTGATTGATTAGGTTTTAAAAAATATTATGAACTCACGGATTTACACATATTTAATCTCTTCAAGTTGGCTTCTGTGCCACTTTGTTGTCAATCTGAACAGGAGGGAACATTTATTATTAACAATAACATATACAGCAAACCAGCCAACAAGACTCTAGAGTGCATGTTATGCCTCTCTACATCAGAAAGTGGCTGTAAAGGCAGCCATCAGGTGTTTTTCTTAATGTAAAAAAGTTTTGAATTGTTACAAAATCAAATCTTTCGGTCTTTCTATTATTTTTCTTATTGCTTCTAAGTTTAGAAGTACTTCCCAATCCAAATATCATATATTAGTCTGTATTTTTTTTTTTTTAATTGTGGCTGGAATTTGTATTTCTATAACTTTTTTTTTTTTTTTTTAGGATGGAAATGGAGTTGTTCGTGGTTACTACTTATCTGTGTTTCTGGAACTCTCAGCTGGCTTGCCTGAAACTTCCAAGTAAGACATGTGATTAAATAACAAACTTTAGTGTGTGTTTACATACTGGCACATTCCTCTTTATAATTTTTTTAGTAACTGTTTTGTTAATTACTGTATTATATTTGTGAAAGTGTACATCCCAGGAATAGGATGATGACATAGACTGGCAGTTCTCAAATTCTGTGGCCTCAGGACTCTTTATACTCTTAAAATTTATTGGGAACCCCAATGAGTTTTTCTTTATGGGTGTTATATCTAGTGATACTTTCTGAATTAGAAGTTAAAACAGAGGAAAAAATACAAAAATTGTATTAATTTAAAAATAATAACCTATTGTGTATTAACATAAATATTTTTTTCCTGATAAAAATATATGTATTTTGCACTTTTGGAAATCTCTTGATACATACTTAAAAAGAAGATGGCTAGATTCCCATATCTGCTTCTATATTTAATTTGTGTGCAATAAGTTCTGTTGGTTGAAGTCTATATATAAAATCTAGCCTCACAGATTTTGAATATCATGCAGTTGAGAAAAGTTTTTTTTAATGAGATATGATTTAACTCCCATAAAATTTATCTTATAAATAAGTGTACAATTCAGTAGATTTTTTTTGTGTGTTATTCCCCAAATTCTACAACACATCCCTAATACCTGATTTTATAACATTTTTATCATCCCACAAAGAAATTCTATACCCATTACCAGTCACTTCCTATTCCTCTTTCCCTGTCCCGGGCAACCACTAATCTCCTTTTTGTTAAGGATAAACATACTTATTTTAATATTGAAGTCTAATTAACACATAACATTATATTAGTCTCAAGTGTGCAATATAATAATTCAGTATTTTTATGCACTGAGAAATGATCAATAACAATAAGTCTTTGTTACCAAAGTAATAAAAAAAATTTTCTTGTGGTAAAAAAGGGAGGAACATTTGAAAAAGCAGTTTTAGATAATTGTGACTTTTCTTTGACATTATACCAAATTGAACGAGTGCTTGTTTGGTAAATGTAATTTGTAATGTGGAATCTAAAACCATATTAGTAAATTTGACTTTATTACATTAAAATCTCTTGATTTGATATGAAATGTCTGCTTTCAGTTATAATGGAGTAATAGAAGAGTAACCCTTTCTCTTGCAATAACCAAAAAGAAAAGAGAAAAATAAACATTTTCTAGGCACTGGACATGAGGCAACCAATGGAAGCAATTCCCAATAGATAAGAAATGGACAGATGAGTTCTATGATTACCCCAGTTTACAGCCGTGAGAGAATTTTCAGGAGGGTGAACTGAGATAGTGTGGCAGACTCCCTGAATGGAGTAGACAGTACTGAGTGTCCAGGAAGACCAATGTAGCTAGAGTGTATTGGACAAAATACCAGAGAGGAGAGAGCTGCATAGGCAGAGAGCTCCAGAGATCTGTAGGGTGTTCCCTTCAAGTACTCAGCAGAGTACTGTTTAGGGCTCATTTGTAAGGAAGCTGAGTTTGGGGAAAAAATAATCTGAAAGGATTACAGGAAGTGGTGTCTGGTGCTCATACAGGGTCAGGATCTGTCTGTTCCCACTATTACAGTGGAGAAATTTATAATTCATGAGGCATTTGCCTCAGTAGAGGGGAACAGCTAGGTTCTAGACTGAACACTGCTCTAGACCTACCTAAAAAATAAAAGCGACATCTCAAAGGATCATATTTTCAAATAATTGTACCCCAGAGCAAAGCTCATGAAAATTTGTAAGATCACAAAATGTCCAGCACCCCACAAAGTAAAATATTCAATATGTGCTGTTCAATCAAAGTTTAATTGGCATTCAAAGAGATGGGAAGACATAACCAATAATGAGAATAATCAATCAAAATTAAGCAAGAACTTTTTCTTTATGTGGATTATATCTATTGATATTATCTGAATTAGAAATTAAAACAAGATTTTTAAAATTTTATTAATTCACTTAAAAATTATAATTATGTGTTAACATAAAGACCATTTTCACGAATATAACTTTTTTGAAGTGAAATAATATTTGATGAGAAAGCTTGTGTTTTAGATTTTTTGAAATCTTTGAATGTCTGGCTTTAAAAAAGACAGCTTGGTTTTCATGTGAGAAGTAGGAAACAGGGACATTTAAGACAGTTCTAACTATTCCATTTGTTCAAAAGTTAAGTAGAGATATATAAAAGACTCAAATTGAACTTGAAAATGAATTATATTGGAAATGCAAAGTATACTGGATGGCATGAATGACAGATTAGATATTGCAAAAGAAAAGATTACTCACACTTGAAGGCATAGCAATAGAAACTGCCCAAGATGAAGCATAGAAAAACAAATTCCAAAACAGAACAACCTGAAACAACTTAATCCTATATAATAAAGAGGGTAATATGCAAACTGACCCTAACAGCAGAAAGACTGGGAATGACTGGTCACTATGACACACACTGACCACCAGGGGGCAGACGCTCAATGCAGGAGCTGCCCCCTGGTGGTCAGTGCACTCCTACAGGGGAAGCTCTGCTCAGCCACAAGCCAGGCTGCCAGCTGCCAGCACAGCGGTGGTGGCGAGAGCCTCTCCCGCCTCCTCAGCAGCGCTAAGGATGTCCAACTGCAGCTTAGGCCTGCTCCCCGCTGGCAAGTGGACATGCCTCGAGGGCTCCCGGGCTGCCAGAGGGATGTCTGACTGCCAGCTTAGGCCCAATCCCCCGGGGAGTGGGCCTGAGTCAGCAGGTGGTCATCCCCCGAGGGGTCCCAGACTGCGAGAGGGTACAGGCTGGGCTGAGGGACCCCACTGAGTGCACAGATTTTTGTGCGCCGGGCCTCTACGAGTGTATAGATAACTGGAGTCCTTAAAGGAGGGAATCAGAAGAACAAATAAAGGAAAAATGGGGAAAACTTTCTAAACTTGATAAAAATTTAAACACACAGATTTAGGAAACTCAATTAACTACAAGCAGATGAAACATGAAGGGAACATCAAAGCACATTATAATAAAATTGCTCGAAACTATTGATAAACAGAAAATCTTAAACTAGCAGTGGAGCCCTAACCGGTTTGGCTCAGTGGATTGGGCGTTGACCTGCGGACTGAAAGGTCCCAGGTTCGATTCTGGTCAAGGGCATTTACCTTGGTTGTGGGCACATCCCCAGTAGGAGGTGTGCAGGAGGCAGCTGATCAATGTTTCTAACTCTCTATTCCTCTCCCTTCCTCTCTGCAAAAAATCAATAAAAAAATATTTAAGAAAACAAACAAAAAACTAGCAGTGGAAAAAAAACGCATTTATAGAGGCACAAAGGTAAGGATGAAATCAAGAGTTTTCACTGGAAACAATACCAGTGGAATTATAAAGGGACGTCTTAGAAAGGCTGAAGAAAAAAAAAAATTTAGGATTTTGTACCCCGCAAAAATATCTTTTAAAATATAAAGGTAAGGTAAAGACATTTTCAGGCATATTTTCAAACATGGACTATAAGAAATGTTAAAGCACCTGCTGTACATTAACAAGGAAAATAATACTAGTTGGACATCTGAATCTAAACAAATTAAGAACAGCAGAAATGGAAATTGCTTGGTTAAGTTAAAAATTTCTTTACTATTAAGATAACTTTAAATGATAATTCACTATTAAACAACAAATATTAACATTGTATTTTACGGTTTATAAATGTAGAAGTAAAATACATGACAACTAAAGCATAAAGGACAGAACGGTAGGACATGGTTCTGATACTGTATATGCAGTGGTATAATAACAAAGCTAGACTGTGGTAAGTTAAGTTCTGAAAAAAGCAGATATCTTATCTGTTAATTCTGTTAATGCTTCAGTACTCCTAGAGAAGAGTTTTGAATACTTTTCATCAAATACTGAAATGTCATTTAATTATGCAATTAAGAGTTTAACAGTTGAGGTAGTTTAACTGTCAAAATAGGGAATAAAAAATTATTGTATCATTGTCTAGTAGATTTTAATGTCACCTGGGACCCTGCAGAAGTACTTTTTCATAATTTTATTATGCTTCAGTTTCTCAATATAATAGGTATGTGTTAGCATTCACATGTGTGTGGGCTTTCAGAGGAAATCTGCACTTGAGTGACATCCTGGAATTGACTCTTAACAGTATATGCTGAGTGACTTGTTTTAGAAACAGAAATTTGAGTGGTTGAAGGAAAGAGTAGAATTTTTCTGAGGGAGTAATTTTACTCAGACTAAAATTTTAACTTAACAGTTGTTAAATTTATTCAGACTTTCATTTTGATAGAAGGAAAGAATTTAAGTTGGAATATTCCAATTTAAGTTTTTAGTTTTATCTAAGATTGCAGTTGAGGTGCTATGTAATTTAACTTGGATTAATTGCCATATTTATTAGAAAAATAGGTCTATATTAGTCATGATTTTAAAGAACTAATGCAGAGAAAAAATGACTTTTTTTCAAGCATTATATGATTTTTCATACAAAGGAACTGATTTTTCAAAAACTTTTATATTGACTTTAAATTTCTACCTATCCTTTTCCTGAATGTATTTGACCATCTGCATTAATATCTTCCTGAATTTTTCAGTATTCTTGATTGTTTCTCTGTGAGTTTTGAGGTTTTCACTACTCACTTTTAAAATAGTAAAACTTATTTTTTAGGTGAAATTTACACGAAATATAATTAACCATATAAAAATATGCAGTTCAGTGAAATGTAGTGCATTTACAGTGTCGTACAATTACCACCTCTCTCTAATTTCAGCATGTTTTCCTCACCCCAGAACACCCTATACCCATTAAGTAAACACTGCCCATTCTTTCCTTCCCCCATTCCTAGACAAATACTACTTTGCTTTCTCTCTATGTATTTGCCTATTCTGGATATTTCGTATAAAAGTTCATATAATATTGTAACTTTTGTGTTTGGCTTAGCATAGTGTTTGCAAGGTTCACTCATGTTGAAGCATATATCAGAACTTTATTCCTTTACTAGAGGCCCGGTGCACGAAATTCATGCAATTGGGGCAGGGACAGGGGTGGGGGGGCTGGTCCCTCAACCTGACCTGCGCCCTATTGCAGTCCAGGCCTAAGCCAGCAGTCAGACATCCTTAGCGCTACAGTGGCGGCAGGAGAGGCTCCCACCACTGCCGCTGTGCTCACCATCCATGAGCCTGGCTCAGGGCTTCTGGCTGAGTGGCACTTGCCCTGTGGGAGCACACTGACCACCAGAGGGCAGCTCCTGCATTGAGCATCTGCCCCCTGGTGGTCAGTGTGCGTCATAGTGACCGATCGTTCTGCTGTCCAGTTGATTTGCACATTAGCCTTTTATTATATAGGAGAATATGTTTGAATAGTACCCAGTGTACATATATACCTCAATTTGTTTAATCATTGGTTTGTTGATGGACATTTGGATTGTTTTCACTTTTTGGCTATTATGAATAATTCTATAAATATTCATGTACAGGTTTCTATAGGGACATATGCTTTCTTTTTTTAATGTCTACCTAATTGTGGAATAGTTGGTTTATATGGTAATTCTGTGTTTAACATTTTGAGGAACTGCCAGACTGTTTTCCACAATGGCTGTACCATTCTACATTCCTACTGGCAATTTACATGAATTAGTATTTCTCCACATCCTCAACAACACTTATTTTCCATTTTTAAATATATTTTATGTCTCTCCTAGTATGAAGTGGTATCTAATTGTGGTTTTGATTTGCATTTCCTTAATGACCAGTGAAATTGAACATTTTTTTATGTGCTTAGTGGCCTTTGTATATAACTTTTTTTGGACAAACGTCTTTTCAAGTTCATTGCTCATTTTTCAATTGGGTTACTTGTCTTTTTGTTATTAAATTGTTATAAGTATTCTTTATCTCATATGCTAAATTTTTATCAGGTATATGATTTGACAATAGTTTCTCCCATTTTGTAGGTTATCTTTTCATTTTCTTGATAATGTCCTTTGGGGCACAAAAAGTTTTCATTTTAATGAAGTCTAAGTTATCTATGATTTCTTTTGTTGCTTATACTTTTGGAGTCAAATCTATAAATCCATTGCCAAATTTGAATTCATGAAGATGTATCCCCATGTTTTCTTCTGAAAATAAGTTTTACCCCTTACGTTTAGGTTGTTGATCCATTTTGAGTTAATTTTTTGTTGAAGAGACTTTTCTTTTTCTATTGAAAGATTTTGGCACCCTTGTCAAAAATCAATTGTGCATGAATATTTGAGTTTATTTCTGGACATATAATGGTACCCTTTGTACTACGGAGCTGGCTTCATGACTTCTGTAAAATGTAGACAGTCAAAAAAAATCACAGCTTTTGTACTGGTTAGTTCTTTGTGTCATCAATCTAGATAACACATGAGAGACACTAATATAAAAATAATTTGACAGTGCTTAAAGAAATACTAACACATAGTATTTGTAGGTAAAGGGCTGTAATTTTTTTTCTTATGTCTACTTTGCCAGCAGAAATAGCAGGTTGAGGTATTGTGTTTTTTAAAAAATTTACCTCCAGCCTGGCTGGTGTGGGTCAGTGGTTGAGTGTTGACCCATGAACCAGGAGGTCATGGTTTGATTCCTGACCAGGGCTCATGCCCAGGTTGTGGGCTAGATCCCAAGTAGGGGATGTGCAGGAGGCAGCCGATCAATGATTCTCATCATTGATGTTTCTATCTCTCTCTCTCCCTCTCCCTTCCTATCTCTGAAATCAATAAAAACACATTTAAAAAAAATTTTACCTCCACCTTGCTGTACACCTGAAACTAATATAAAGTAAATTGGATGTAAACTGTAATTGAAAAATAAAATTAAAAGCACACACACACAGATACAAAATTTACCTCCGCCAAAAAGGAGAAGCATTTTGGTTACTACTGATGTAAGAATGTACAAACTTGTAGAGAATTTTTATAAAAATGTATTTGAGCCAGACTGATGACATATGCTGGTGAACAGGATTTCAAATGCTCCCAAGAATAGCAGGCTTGCAGCAGCTTTTATGCATTTGAAATTAGGAAGGGAGAAAGATTGGAGAAAGCAAGGTGGGGAATGGATTAAGGATAGTTAAGATTGTGTGCTTTCTTGAGGCTTACTAACCCCTTCAGGGGGTATTACTTCTAAGTGTATTAACCTAGATGCACAAGAACAATGGACAGGGCTGGCTTAAAACCTTGCTAAAGACATTATAGGCCTGCTGCATGACTACCCACCATGACCTGGGCACTTAGGAATTTATGATCACATTACCCTGTGATGTTATTTTCCATAGAACCTCTTTTTTGTCCACATTAGTGTTGAGTCTTCCTTCTGATTATCTTTATTTCTTCACTTTTCTTTCTTTTTGTAATAATAATGCTTTCTTAGTAAAAATGAGTTTGGAGACTTGAAAGTTTTATACTTTATAAGATAGGGAAATCTGAATATATTGGCTTTCCCAATTTATACTTATTTTCTGTTAGAAGAGTTTATAGGCTTGAATTTCTGAATGCATAGTTAATTTATTTTAACTTGAATTGGAAAAATAGAGTATTTAAAATTTACTATTTAGTTTAAAATTGCATGGTGATAAATCTCAAAGGAAATGGTAGAATTTTTACATGTGAAGAAATATAGGTAATGAATATATGAAAAAGCATATAGCTTTGCTAAAACAAACAAAAGTAACTTTGAAAGTACTTTTTATACAAATTTGTTTATTTACTGAGGTGATGTTTCATACCTGCTATATTGATAAACAATATTGGGAGGAAAGAGAGACCTTCTGCCAGTCATGTTGGGATAGGCCATTCATAACACTGCTGTCTTTATAAATAATACAATCCTTCTGAAAGAAATGTAATTGTATATAAAGTTTCTTCTCAGGTAATTACTTAATGACCATAATGTTTTGATGAGTCTTTTTATTCTGGTTTACCAACTATATTAATATTCAGTTTTTTTAATGTTAGATATGAATATCGTGTAGAAATGGTTCATCAGTCCTGCAATGATCCTACGAAAAACATCATTCGAGAGTTTGCATCTGACTTTGAAGTTGGAGAATGCTGGGGTTATAATAGATTTTTCCGTTTGGACTTACTTGCAAATGAAGGATACTTGAATCGACAAAATGATACAGTAATTTTAAGGTAATAGAAAACATTTGATACTGTGGTTTTTATCATGAGGGAATAATGTCACCAGAACTTTATTTTAAAAGTCTATTTAACAAAGGTGAATATTGAAATTCATACCAACTATAATCTTACTATGTTCTTAACCATTTCTTTCAGGAGTCCTGTGTAGTCAGTGAATAATTTAAGTTAGAAATGTGTTTGACATTTAGTTAGTAATTCCATAAAAAGAAAACTACTTCTAATAAATATAGTAAGGTTCTATTTATCCATTGAACTTATTGCAACCTCACTATTTGCAAATCAAAAACACGGTCACTTGCTTTTTTTCTTCACTTGAAATTAAGGTGACAGGTTTTATAAGCTGAATTTCACAAAAATATTTTCAGTTCCTTCTAGATAACAGCAAATGAAAAGTAAGGGAATAGAGATGAATCAAACTAAGTGATACTAGTTAGTGTGTTATTTGCAAGAAAGCACAGAACATAAACACTATCATACCACAACAGCCCCATTTAATGTTGGGGTAACCGTCACAAGTCAGAAATTTTGGGCATCATTACAAGATGTTTTAATTTGATGTTACAAATGGGGGCTTGCATACTTAAAAAATAGACTCTGTACTGGTTGGAGTGTCTACCCCCTGGTGGTTAATACGCATCATAGTGACTGGTCAAACGGTTGGAGGAACAATTAGCATATAGATATGTATTTATTTTTTAACGAAAGAAAAAAAGTGTAGCTCAGCCAGTGTGGCTCATGAATCAGGAGGTCACAGCTTGATTCCCAATCAGGGCATGTGCCTGAGTTTTAACTTGATCTTCAGTAGGGGGCATGCAAGAGGCAGCTGATCAATGATTCTCATCATTGATGTTTCTATCTCCCTCTCCCTTCCTCTCTGAAATCAATAACAATTTATTTTATATAAAAAAAAGTTAAGGAATTTTATCTTCTGCTTGCTTTCGTTTTGTTGTTCTTGTTGTTAATCCTCACCTGAGGATATTTTTTCCATTGCTTTTTCAGAGAGAGTGGAAGGGGTGGGGGACAAAGAGAGAGAGAGAAAGAGGAAAATGTATGTGAGAGAGTTAAATTGACTAGTTGCCTCTTGCATATGCCTCGACTGGGAGTGAACCTACAACATAGGTACGTGCCCTTGACTAGGAATTAAACCCTTGACCCTTGGGCATGCGGGCTGATGCTCCAACCATTGAGAGACACTGGCCAGGGTTGCTTGCTTTTGTTTTGGCACTAAAAATGTTGAGGGTTGACCATGCTTTTATTAGTCATTCAAAGATCTTATTTGTGTACTAGAGGCCAGGTGCACAAATTCGTGCATGGGTGAGGTCCCTCGGGGTAGTCTGTGGGGATTGGGCTCTAGCTCGCACTCCTAGCCTTGTAGCTCCATTGTGGCTGGGCCGCCCACCCAGTTCCCTCAGTGCCTGGGAGCCAGGTGGTGGCCCCCACTCCTGCCGCCATCGCTGTCTTTGGGGTAATCGGGCCCCTGTTCCCACCCGCCTTGGCCTGGCACCACCCACTCACCTGCTCCACTATCCTGCTGCAGTCCCACTCTTGTCGGGGCCCATCAGGGCTGGCAGCGACTCCACTGCCCGCCGGCTGCCAGCGCCTCATCGCCCACGCCCACCATGTTCCGCGCCGCCCCCTAGCGGTCAGTGCATGTCATAGCGAGTGGTCGAACTCCCGGTCGAACAATTTGCATACTAGGCTTTTATTATATAGGATACTGGCTAGGCATTATCCACTCAGAATGGTGGTCCAGTAAACTTTTTCCACTCTCTGCTGCATGACTATCCTTACGGAAAATAGACACCTGCTGCAGATAACTATTAGATGGTCAGTAGCTTCTTCTTTTTTTTTTTTAAATATATTTTATTGATTTTTTACAGAGAGGAAGGGAGAGAGATAGAGAGTCAGAAACATCGATGAGAGAGAAACATCGATCAGCTGCCTCCTGCACATCTCCCACTGGGTATGTGCCCGCAACCCAGGTACATGCCCTTGACCGGAATCGAACCTGGGACCTTTCAGTCCGCAGGCCGACGCTCTATCCACTGAGCCAAACCAGTTTCGGCATGGTCAGTAGCTTCTTACACTAGCTGTAAAATTGTAGGAAAAGAATGGGATGGTAGTTAACATAAGATTGGCAAGACTAGAAAGAGGATTTGCAAGCTTCCAAATCAGCCTTGCCTCTTGTTACTCTTTAGAAACATCTTTATATGTTACTGTAATTTTTTTCCACTGTAATTGGAGTCATATTTGGCTATATAACAAAGGTGGAAGGCTTCTTTTGCTTTAATACATATTAGCTTTTTAAATACAGAGATAGCTCTGAATAGATTAAGACCCTGTCATTTATTCACCATAGGCATTAATATAGATATTTGTTTTTTTTCTTAACTCTAGCTAAAATATACTATATTGTGATATATGCAGAGTTTTGATTTTGTGTTCTCTGGAGGGGTTGGGAATATAATTTAGAACATGAATATAGGTTATTTATAACATGAGACTGGGGGACTGTAAAGCAGTTCTGGGCAGTTGACCTTTTAAGTCATTTTTTACTGAGGAACAGGAAATAGGGGAATTGAGATGGAAGAAGGAAGGAAAAGGGCAGTGCCTAAAAACTACCTATTTTGCTAGGGCCTGACCTAGTCAAGAAATGTTAGCTTCCTCCTTCCTGCATAGTATGGTCCTGTTCTTGAGTCATGATCAACCTTGTATTTTAGCTAGATTATTATAATAAATAATGCTTTAGTAGGTTAACCATGATATGTAATGGTATTTCTTTAGAACTCTACAGTTTAAGTTTAGACAACTGATTTATAGATGACTTTACAGAACCTTATTTTACTATAATTTGTAAAGTACATGTATAAATGGGAAATATGAGGAGCTCTGAGTACATTTTGAATTTTGGCCTCACATGATAATGAAACTTAAAATTTTAGAATTTATAGTTATAGATTCAAGGCTTGTTTGATGATATTTTATTATTTGGATTATTTTTCATGTGCAGCTATTTTTTTAAGGTTTCAGGTTCGTTCACCAACTTTCTTTCAAAAATGCCGGGACCAGCATTGGTATATTACTCAATTGGAGGCTGCACAGACTAGCTATATCCAACAAATAAATAACCTTAAAGAGGTAAGAACAATAATACATATTTCGGGTTTAGTGTTTTATTTTGTCTTATTGGCCTGTTAACATTTATAATTAGATTTGGGGTACTTCTTGCTGTTTGTAATTTTGTAGAAAAGTCCAATTATTTTGTTCTCCATTCTTACCACCTTTGAACCTGTAAGTCTTTACTGCTCAGTAGCCACTAGCCATATATAGCTATGTAAACTTAAAAAAATTCAGTTCCTTAGTTGCACTGGCCACATTTTATTTTTATTATTTTTTTAATTTTTTTAAAAAAATGTTTTTATTGGTTTCAGAGAGGAAGGGAGAGGGAGAGAGAGATAGAAACATCAATGATGAGAGAGGATCATTGATTGGCTGCCTCCTGCACGCCCCCTACTGAGGATCGAGCCCACAACCCAGGCATGTGCCCTTGACTGGAATCTAACCTGGGACCCTTCAGTCCTCAGGCTGACACTCTAGCCACTGAGCCAAACCAGCTAGGGCATGGCCCCATTTTAAATGCTTATATTGGGCATTGCATACAGAAACATTTGCATCATTGCATAAAATTGTATTACAGTGCTGCTCTAGTTTGAGGTTATCTCTCTGTGTTTTTCTCAGTGACTTCTGTATTTCTCTTCCCCATGCTGTCTTGAATTTAGAGGATTCAAAGCTATAGAACAACTGAAAATTGCCCCATCTTGAATTCTCACTATTGTTGAATTGAGCACTGGGGAGGATCAGTTAATTAATTTTTATTTTACCACGGTAAACTAAATATGTAAGGAATGTTTCTTTCTGCCAATTGAAAATGAGATGGGGTGGAAGCTTTTGAAGTGCCAAAATTGGCTAATAGATGAGGGAGCAATATGTGAATAAATACTTACTTTCAGAGATTTTCATGTTATATGTACTATTTAAAACTGCCTATATTTACTTTAGAGTTCGCTCACTGTACGTGTAGCTTGGGCTGGATAGGAGAAGGATGAGAATAAATTAGGCAATTTTTCTTTCTTTCTTTTTTCCAGAGAGAATGGAGGGGAGGGGAGGGAAGGGAAGGAGGGAAGAGAGAGAAACTTTGATGTGACAGTTTAGAATATAGGTTATTTAGAACATGACACTCTTTGGGGAACTGTAAAGCAGTCCTAGGTAGTTGACCCAGACTTTGACTGGGTCCGGGGTCTAACCTGCAACACAGGTATGTGCCCTTGACCAGGAATTGAGCTCGAGATTCTTCAGTCCTCAGGCTGACGCTATAATCATTGAGCCACACTGGCCAGGGTGGGCAGTTTTTCTCTGTCACAGATTTTTCCATAAGCAAAAGGCAGCAGGTGGTGAGAGAGATGGTGCAAGAAATGGTTTTAAGAACATATTATATATTTTTTAAAATATTTTTTGCTTTCCCATAGAAACACTGCTTTAACTTATGTTTATTCGTGCTGTTTTTGTCTTAAAAGAGACTTACTATTGAGTTATCTCGAACTCAGAAATCAAGAGATTTATCACCACCAGCTAATCATCTTAGCCCCCAAAATGATGACAGTCCTGAGACACGATCTAAGAAGTCTGGGTCTTGTGCTGACATGCTTCTCCAGGATGGTCCTATTTCAGCTTCTGTAAGAGAGGCCAAAGAGGATGAAGATGAGGAGAAGATTCAAAATGAGGATTATCATGTAATACACCAGTTTTTTAGATTTATTTTATGTTTGATAAGAGAAATGAATAAGATCATGGTTCTCATCATGTGATGTAGAGGAGTCAGTGTGCTAAAAATCTTATCTGTTAGTCAAGTCAGAAGTTGCTGAATCAAAGTGTTTAAAGTTTTAAAATTAATTCATTGTAGAAAAATACATTCTACACAACAAACTGATGTACAGTCTAGAAACTGTAGATTGTGAATTTTTAAAATGTGCTGTATTTTTATTCACTGAAACTAGTAAATGCCTTGTCATTGCATGTGTAGATAGATTCATTTAGGACTTGGGAGATAGCCAGGTTTTGTCCCAGTTAAATAATGAACAGAATGAGAATTCAAGAAGTGGTTGTTTTTATTTGAGGTAAGATAGGGATACAGAGAAAAGCTTTTTGAGAGGATGTGGAGAAAAGGGAACCCTAGTACACTGCTGACAGGAATGCAGACTGGTGCAGCCATTATGGAAAAAAGTATGGCGTTTCCTCAAAAAATTAAATGTGGAACTGCCATTTGACCCAGTGATCCCACTTTTAGGAATATCTATATCCTAAGAAACCCAAAACACCAATCAGAAAGAATGTATGCACCCCTATGTTCAGAGCAGCACAGTGTACAGTAGCTAAAATCTGGAAACAGCCTAAGTGCCCATCAGTAGATGAGTAGATAAAAAAGCTGTGGTACATTTACACCATGGAATACTGTGCAGCAATAAAAAAGAAATATCTCTTACCCCTTGAGACAGCATGGAAGGACCTGGCAAGTATCATGCTAAGTGAAATAAGTGAATCAGAGAAAGACAAGTATCACATGATGTCACTCATGTGGAATCTCAGTAACAAAGTAAACTGATGAAAGGAGTAGATCCAGAGACATGGAAGCCTGGGAACAGAGGGCAGAATCTTGGAGGGAAGGTCGGGGAGGGTAGGTAGGTGGGAAGTAATCAACCAAGAACCTTGTATGCATATATGCATAGCCCATGGCCACTGACAATGGGGAGGTGAGGGTGGGCTGGAAGGGGTCAATGAGGGAAAAGGGGGGGCCTATGTAATACATGCAACAATAAGGAATTATTTTTTTTTAAAAAAAGAAAGAATCGTTGCCCTAAGGCAAGCATGTCAAACTCACGGGGAATATTATTTTTTGCGGCCCAGGCAATATAACGATATGTAAGAAACATTTTAATAAAAATTTCGTAACTTAATTTACAGCATTCTGTTATACATAATTATTAATGATGAACTACAACGTTCACTAATGACTGATTACTATAATCGTATTGCATTCATTTCCCTTAATGCCTTACACGCAGGCGCGCCATTTCTCTCCACTAATGCTAGCAGCGAATATTTTAGCAGTCGATTGCCCCATCATTAGTCTTGTACTGACTTGTTTGGTGTGTGCAATGGGAAATATTTTGCTTTCTGAGAACAAGAAAAATAGGTTTATTTGCATTACACTTATTCAGTGTCTGGTAAGTTAATGTTCAAGAAAAAATATTAATTTTTATTTAAATGTCCTATTATTTTATGTTAATGATTACTCATTTATTTCAGCCCTTTGTATTCAGCATGTCTCTATCGAAATAAACCTCCGTTTCTATGAAAATTGAAGCTTTTGTTTTTTTGTGGCCCACACAAACTTAAAACTTGTTTATTTGGCCCATGTTAGCCATTGAATTTGACATGCTTGCTCTATGGAGACATGGTTTCTGAAGGAATAATAAAGACTGATGCCAGAATTTAAAAATAAAAATAAAAATGAAGGAGCCATTAGGGAGACTGAAGATAAGTTTAAGGTATTGACAAACCCCAAGTATTTAAGGAAGCTAATAGGGTCTGGAACTGAGCACTCACGTTAATCTTTTGATAGGATGAGGTAAAGATGGAGTTTACATGTAGGGCAGCTGAAAGTTGGAGGAATTTGTGTGTAATAGCCAGTGTGCTTATCTATGCAGGTAGGTGCAGGTTTTACAATGACCTTGTGGATAATAGAGGTGAGGTAGGATTTGAGGAATGATAATTTGAAATGTTACTCTGTATGGAGCCTTACTGGAAGCTAACATGGAATACCGGAAGCATTTCCAATTACATTAAGGGCCCCGCTGAAATTGGCAGCAATAAATTAGTAGTACCAGGTAATGTGGTTGTGTGATTTTTTTTTTTAATACAGGGCTTAGCTGATTGGGCACACGAGCAGAGAATTCTGATGATGGCATTGTTGTTTGGTGCTTGTTCCATACTCAATTGTTCTTTGAGATAAAAGTCTTTATTTCTTTGCCTTGTTCTAGCATGAGCTTTCAGATGGGGATCTGGATCTGGATCTTGTTGGTGAAGATGAAGTAAACCACCTCGATGGTAGCAGTTCCTCTGCCAGTTCCACAGCAACAAGTAACACGGAGGAAAATGACATTGATGAAGAAACTATGTGAGTGTTGCACATTAACTACCATATAAAACACCATATAAAACACCTACATGATAATTGGATATTAACTAGATCTAAAAGTGGGGATATTTAGCATTTTTTCTTGATAATCTTTATAAATAAAAGGATTTTAAAGGAAATACTTGAATTAGTTTCCACTCTCTCATCTCTGGGTTCCAAACTGAGTTTTAATTTTTCTTTTTTATCTAACCCAAGGATATATATTTTATTGATTTGTGTGTGCATGCCAAAGAGAGAGAGAGAAAGAGAGAGAAACATCTGTCGGTTGCCTCCTGTCCCAGGGATGAAACCTGCAACCTAGGTATGTGCCTTGACCGTAAATCAAACCTGCAACCTTTTGGTGTGGGACACACTCCAGCCAACTGAGCCACCTGGCCAGGGCCTGAGTTTTAATTTTTGTTTTAACTTTTAATTTTGCCATTATTTCATATTTAAGAAAAGTTGCAAAAAATACTAAGAATTCCCCTATTTAAAAAAACTGCCTGTATTCTTTCCTCACATGTTAATATTTTGCTTTATATTTCTCTCTCACCATATAATTTTTTTGTGAGACATTTGAGATTAGGTGGGTATACTTCCCATTATGTACTTCCGGAAAACAAGTATATTTCTTATGTAACTACAGTGCAGTTATCAAAATCAAGAGACTAACATTGCTGTAATATTATAATCTGACCTTTTAAAAATTTTGCATTCAGCCCTAACAGGTTTGGCTCGGGATAGAGCGTCGGCCTGCGGACTGAAAGGTCCCAGGTTCAATTCCGGTCAAGGGCATGTACCTTGGTTGCGGGCACATCGCCAGTAGGAGGTGTACAGGAGGCAGCTGGTCAATGTTTCTCTCTCATTGATGTTTCTACCTCTCTATCCCTCTCTCTTCCTCTCTGTAAAAAAATCAATAAAATATATTTTAAAAAATTTGCATTCAGTGATGTCCTTTGGTTTAGGATCCAATGCAGGATCAAATGTTGCTTTTAGTTAAGTCTCTTTAGTTTGCCCCAATCTGGGTCACTTAGTCTTTTATATCATTTTTTTTTTTTTTGTACTTTGTTTTATATGCCTTTGACACTTTTGAGAAATACATAGCAGTTATTTTGTAGAAAATCTTCAATTTGCAATTGTCTGATGTTTCCTCACCATTAGACTGAGGTTATGCACCTTTGGGAAGAACACTACAGAAGTGGTGAGGTAATTTTTTCAGTATATTGTATGAGGGGGAAGTGGAGGCATGTCTTTAATCTGTCCCTTTAGGATTGATTAACTTAGATACTTGGTTAAGAGGGTGTCTTCCTGATTTCCCTTCTCTACAATTATGACTTTTTCCTTTTGTGATTAATAAATATCTCTTGGGAACATAATTTGAGACTGTAAATAACTTTTTCTCATTGTACTTTTGTCCATTAATTTTAGCATCCATTGATGATACTAGCTTGGAAAAGATTACTGTGTTGATTGCCAAATGATGATACCATTATTCATTCTGCACTTAGTTGGAATTTTACTTTAAGGAAGAACTTTCCCTATTAATTAATTGATTAATTTCATTAGTATGGACTCACAGATTCTTATATTATTAAATAATTTAACCCATTTATTATAATTTATTACTCAGATTATCTAAGATTTAGCCAATGGGAGCCTGTTAAAAAGATAACTCCTGTGTCCTTTGAGATGTCCTCATAATTTTTAAAGCACTTTCTTATTTTTTGGCACTAAAAGACATTCCAGGTTCACCTTGTACTTTCTCTGTTCCAGCCCTAGCATCAGCCCATTTTTCAAAGGAAATACCAACAAAATAGCAAAAAGATTCGAAAAGCCCTAGCTGGTTTGGCTCAGTGGATAGAGTGTCAGCCTGCGGACTAAAGAGTCCTGGCATATGCCTGGGTTGCAGGCTCGATTTGCAGTGGGGGGCGTGCAGGAGGCAGCCGGTCAATGATTCTCTCTCATCATTGATGTTTCTATCTCTTACTCCCTCTTCCTCTCTGAAATCAATAAAAATTTATATATAAAAAAATAAAATAAGGTAATAGTGTTTTTTGGTATGATATACTTTGAGGACTTTGATAAGGGGATATTACCATTTATTCTGAAATAATATTTTAGGAAAATATTTAATATATGCAGTAATTTGAGCATCTTTCTTTTTTAACCTTAAAATGTATTGGTGCTTTGTTTTGTTATTCCTCACCTGAAGATATTTTTCCATTGATTTTTAGAGAGAGTGGGGGGAGTGGGGGAGACAGAAAAAGAGAAACAACCATGTGAGATGGACACATGGATTAGTTGCCTTCTGCACGTGGCCCTGTACCAGGATCGAGCCTGCAACCGAGGTACATGCCCTTGACCATAATCGAACTTGAAACCCTCAAGTCTGCAGGCCAATGCTCTATCCACTGAGCCAGACAAGCTAAGGCTAAAATGTAGTATTTTAAGCCTAATTTACTATCATTAAGGTACATATTATTTAAAGCTATAATCTTTTGCTCTACAATGGTTCTCAGATTTTCTCTTTTAAAAATTAAATGTTTCCAAGCTATTTTGGTATTTTTTAAAGGTAGTTTGACTATTACTACTAACTATACATGTGATAATGACCAAAGTCTTTTTCTTCATTTTTGTATTTAGTAATATCTGTCTTCACAAGAGAAAGCTGTGCATTATTGTTATAAAATTCATTGAGGTGTGATAAATAATGTTAATTTTACTTGACTTTGTGGGAATAATGAATTTTGTGTATTCTTAGGTCTGGAGAAAATGATGTGGAATACAACAACATGGAATTGGAAGAGGGAGAACTGATGGAAGATTCAGCTGCTGCAGGACCTCCGGGTACAAGGGCCAAGCCCACAAGCCATTCTGTCTTCCCTTTGTTCTTTTTTGACCATATCATATTTTAATATGTGGCAGCCACTAGCTCTTAAAATAATAATAATAGCTATTTGACATATACTCATATACCAGGCAAATGCACTTTGTGTATCTTATCTCATCTATATAATAAAGCCTAATTGACCTTTACGGTGGAATGACCAGAACGACTGGTCACTGTGTTGCACACTGACCACCAAGGGGGCAGACACCCGGCGCAGGAGTTGCCTCGTGGTAGTCAGTGTGCTCCCACAGGGTGAGTGCCGCTCAGCCTGAAGCCAGGCTCACGGCTGCCAAGTGCCGCAGCAGTGGCGGGAGCCTCTCCTGCCTCCGTGACAGCACTAGGGAGCAGTGAGCCAAGCAGTAAGGAGCAGTGAGCAGGCAGGTGGTAAGGACCAAGGGATCCCGGACTGCAAGAGGGATGTTCGCCTGTTGGCTTAGGCCTGATCCCCAGGGGGAGATTGGGCCTAAGCCAGCAGGCAGACATCATCCAAGGGGTCCTGGACTGTGAGAGGGCGCAGGCCGGGCTGAGGGGGACATCCCCCTCCAGTGTATTAATTTCGTGCACCCGGCCTCTAGTTTACTTATAAAAGTCTGTGAGATTCTAGGCTACTGTCTTTCAAAATAGCCTCTCATCTGGGTTCCTTGTATCAATTATTGCTCCCCTTCATTCTGTTTCCTACAGCATGAGTTCAGAATGGGTGTGATTTTTCCTTCAAATTGATATCTGATCATGTAACTTCTCTAATTAAAACCCTTTATTGGATTCCAGTTACTTATGGATAAAATCCAGACTCATTAATATAGTGTAGAAGGTCCTTTATGTGCTGGCTTCTGCTCATTTCTTTAGCCTGCTTACACTCCTCTGCATCATTTTTCAGCCCATCAGATGTGCCATGGTATTTCTCACATCTTTGCTTCCCAACGTGTTGTTCCTTCTACCTTCTTATTTTTGCTTTTATTTCATTTCTTACTGGAAGCCCTCCTGGACTGCTTGCCCTGGGTATCTTTTCTGCTTTTCTCAGATTAACCAATTAGAATCTGTAGAACCTATTTAACCTATGTTAAACATTATTCTTATTGCTTATATAGCTATTTTGCTTTTCACCTCTGAACTCCATGAAGCAATATAATGTGTGTCAGAATTTTGTATTCCTAGCACTTTAAACAGTATAATAGGGATCATTTAATATTTTTCACATAAACATTGAGTAAATACACTTTATTACTAAGTTTTCAATGTAATTTTTAAGGTTCTAAATAGTGCATAAAAATTCAGAGGCCATCTTGGTATAAAATGGAAGATGAGTGTACTACGTCAAGGTTACTGAATATTTTCAGCCTTTTCTTTTTTCAATATATTTCTTTATTGATTTTGGAGAGGAAGGAAGAGGTAGAGAAAGATAGAAACATCAATGATGAGAGAGGATCATTGATTGGCTGCCTCCTGCACACCCTACTGGGGATCGAGCCTGCAACCCGGCATGTTCCCTTGGCCAGAATTGAACCTGGGACCCTTCAGTCTGCAGGCCGATGCTCTATCCACTGAACCAAAGTGGCTAGGGCTTTCAGCCTTTTTAAAATTTTTTAATTTATTTCAGAGAGGAAGGGAGAGGGATAGATAGAAACATCAGTGATGAGAGAGAATCATTGATTGGCTGCTTCCTGCAAACCCCACACTGGGGATTGAGCCCGCAACCCAGGCATGTGCCCTTGGCTGGAATTGAACCTGGCGGAACCCTTCAATCCACAGGCCGATGCTCTATCCACTGAGCCAAACCGGCTAGGGCAGACTTTTTTTTTTTAAGTTAAATCTGATTTCCTCTCAAACTGTATTGTAGGGAAATTCTTATATATAACATTTTTAGACACTCTGGGTAAGCAGAGGTTATATTTTTTTAATTATTCATTCACCAAATATTTACTGAGCACTTAACTGAAACTGAATACTGTTTTACTTTCAGGAACTACAGTATTGAAAAAAGATGTCCCTGTTCTGATGGACCTCATGTTCTATAATTCTGAAATAATAATTTATTTGTTCAATATATATATATTCTTGAGCACCTGTTATAGTTCAGACATTGAATTCTAGATGCTGAGGATACAATAGTAAATCAAACAGTTAATTTGTATTTTGTGCTTTGGGGAATTTTATATATTTGGTAGGCATTTATTGAAATTCTTTCCTATTTCCAGATTTCTGGAAAATATAATGAAAAAGAGTTACTCTTAAGTAATTTATAATCTGAAGGTGAATAGATATATAACTAATATATATAAGACCATGCACATACAAAAGAATTCCAAATAATTTTTTTATATATTGCCTCTTCAAGGAGGTGAAGTGTAACTCTCCACCCTTAAATGTAAGCTATGCTTAGTGACTTGCTTCCAGGTATTACAGTGTAAAATATATTTAAATAGCTTTATTAAAGGTTGATTTTTTAACCAATATTTTCATAATCCAATATTGCTAGGCATTGTACTAGGTACTAGAGAAAAGTCAGGTGGTTTTCTTGACTTAAAGCTTAGTTCAACATAGGTGATATAAATAGGACATTTGCTCACAGTCTGTACTATGCCATCAGTCAGTAACAAGTTCGGTCTAAAAACTTCAACTTGTGTTCCAGTACTTAAGCTAGAAAAAAAGTCTACCACACATGTCATAGATGTGTACAGTTTGCTATCCAGAGACCTGGAGAAGATTCCTATTTTGGTGTCTAGTTCTTGGAATCTGTTATACTATGGAGATTTGTCTTTCACCCAAGACCACTGGGTTATGAGATATGTTAGCTTTTCCTAATTCTCATTCCACTAATTATATATACTGTATACATTGTCACTTTTTTATTTCTAGGGCTCAGGATGAGTTGAGGGTTGCTCCCGAATTCTGGATAGTAATGAGGCCAGTGCTCAGCCACTGTGCTTGTGTACACCTCTACGGCAATCTGGTTTCTTCATTGTGCTGCTTCTTATGAAAATAAAATCCTAAGAGACAAGTATTCAAACATCAAGCAGTTTACTTTTTTCTTTTAAGTATACTTAAATTTGTACACATATATAGCATGCACTTTCTGTATTGTTTTTTTTTTCTTTTGTAGGTGGTAACCATGGCTATGTTGGTGCCAGTAGTAGAATGTCAAGAAGAACACACTTATGTTCTGCTACTACAAGTAATTTATTAGACATTGATCCTTTCATTTTAATGCATTTGTTGGACCTTAAGGGCCGGAACAGTATGGAAAGTTTGTGGGGCTTACAACCTCGCCCACCTGCTTCACTGTTGCAGCCCACAGGTAAAATATTAACAGTGATTTTCCTTTTTCGTGGTTCCCCAAAAGAACTCTATTCCAAATACAGTATATTTCTGTAGCAAATTGATTTTTTCACTGTAAGTCATAAAATGACATTTATATTAATCAAATTAATATTTTGTTACTGTTCAAAGGTATTTTGTGTGAAAATAATGTCAAAATGCCTGTAAGGAGGATTGGTTTTTTAATGGTTTGCCCTTTAAATTGTATGTAATTGACAGTTTGATCCATATGAAATACAGTTTTCCTTTTTGTGAGTGGACTTAGAGTTTTGCACAACTCACGAATACCGTAACTTCCAAGTGGAACTCTTAAGTTGAATATAGAAAAAGATGGTTTACTCACACTTTGATGTTCAATAGCCTAAAAACCTAAACCAGCTAGCAGCAGTGTTTAGGTACAAAGGTTATTTGTTGAAGAGAAATTACATTTGTGTTACTGTAATACAGTGTATACACATACATATTAAAGGTATAATCAAAGTTGGACTTTTCAAAACGCTATGGCATGGTCATTTTGAATAGCTAAGGATTTGCCTTTAAATGACACATTTTAAAAACTATTTTTGTTGGAAAGCTTTTAAAAAATATACCAAACATTTCCCTACCTTCTTAAACAACAGCACTATACAAATTAAATCCGTGGCTTAAAACAATGATTTTGATTCTTTAAAGCAGTGGAACTCATTTTTCAAACAAAGTCTAAGGTAGAGCCTCCATGTAGAAATCAGAGAATTAGAGCTGTTCTACCTAGTGGGGAATGGACTCACAGAGGTTGGATTAAGTTAGGCCCTTTCCTTTCTAAGGTATACTTTCTGTAGGCTTACAACCAAGTTATGAAACAATTGCTTTTATCTATGATCCCCAAGTACATTTTGTATTATGTTTGTACTTTCGTAGCACTTACCACATTGTATATGATTTTATATTTTTTTCTGAGGCGTTTTTATTGTAGAAAACTGTGGCCAATATTTGCAAAGACCTAGTGAAACAGACAAGTTCTGGTTCTGGAAGTAGGAATGTATATTGGTTTAACCTTTTTGAAGGAAAATTTTATAGTAGGTTCAGAATATTTCTTTTTTTAATATATTTTTATTGATTTCAGAAAGAGAGGGAGAGAGAGATAAATCATCAATGAGAGAGAATCATTGATTGGTTGCCTCCTGCAAGTCTCACACTGGGGATCGAGCCCACAACCTAGGCATGTGCCCTGACCGGGAATCAAACCTGTGACCTTCTGGTTCATAGGTTGACGCTCAACCATTGAACCACTGCAGCTGGGCTCAAAAATATTTCTATCTTTGAATCATGTAACTTTACTTTTAGGAGTATATTCCAAAGAAAAATCAGAGTTTGAAACTATCCAACAAATACAGGATGGGGCAGAACTAGGTTTACAGTTGTTTGTATGGAAAATAATACAATAATTCTTTTACTTATTAGCTGTGTTACCTTGAGTATTATGTTGGGTAACCTCTATGTGTCTTTCCTCATTTATAAAATGGAGGTAATAGTACTTACCTCAGAGGATTGATATGAGAGGATTAAATGACTTGATGTTTTAAAAATATTTGATACTCACTTTATAGATGTTTGTTAAATAAATACAACAAATCATGATAGAAAATCTTCCCAGAAGTTACTTCTCTTCCCCTTCCCCCCAGTCTTTTGGTTGAGACTGACTCTTATGTCCACTATCAAAGAGGAATGAGCTTAGACCAGTCCTGGACCCATATCTACTGGAGCCAAAGGGAGGGACCTAACCTCCCTGAGCACATTGCTGCTCACCTGATACCTGAACACAGTCTGAATCCTTTTTGTGCAAGGGGAAATGGCTGATACACTACAGCACCTACCTTTTACTGTATGTCCTCTTTTATGGCAGAAGGCTGTTGTAGCCATTTCTGCTAATAAAGGACTTGTTCTTTGTCTGGTTTGAGTGCCTGTTGGCCCCATTTGGGGATGTGTTATGTGTGTGCAGGTATTGTGTTTTGTGTGTGTTTTTTTGGCTTAGTTTCATTTTGCTTTAAGTCAGCCATAATGTTCTTTGATTTCCAAAATATTTAGCTCTTTTCCTTCCTGAGAGGAAAGTATATTTTCCTTGCTCATAGCTTTCATTTTAATATTTGGGTAGGGGGAAAAGTTAAAAACAGCTTCAACTACTTTCTCTGGGGAGAAAGAAAACATTGTTACTTTAGTGGCTGTAGACTCAGTAGCAGGGAACTATTCTTTTGTGATGTTCCATGGCACTTAATAACGACATATGCTTGGCTAGTACTTAGGTAAATCAACGTTTTGAATTTAGTTAGAATATATATATATTTTTATATCAGATTTGGCTAAGTAGTTGGCTATGTTTTAAAATTATCCTATATAATAAAAGCCTAATATACTAAGTGTCCGGTCATTCGGTCAACCAATCAAAGGGTAATATGCTAATGATATGCTAAGGCTGCTCAACCGCTCACTATGACATGCACTAACCACTAGGGGGCAGAGAGTCAACCAGTCACTATGACGTGCACTGACCACCAGGGGGCAGACGCTCTGACTGGTAGGTTAGCTTGCTGCTGGGGTCTGGCCTATTGGGACTGAGCGAGATGGGCCAGACACGCCCTGGAACCCTCCTGCGGTCCCTCCCTGGCTGGCCAACCTCCTGCATCCCTCCCTGGCCATGATCGTGCACCAATGGGGTCCCTCGGCCTGGCCTGCGCTCTCTCGCAATCCAGGACCCTTCGGGGGATGTCGGAGAGCTGGTTTTGGCCCAATGGCAAAATGACCAGTCACTATGACCCACAGTGACCACCAGGGGGCAGACACTCAATGCAGGAGTTGCCCCCTGGTGGTCAAGGCACTCCCACAGGGGGAGTGCTGCTCAGCCAGAAGCCAGGCTCATGGCTGGTGAGCGCAGCAGCGGTGGCAGGAGCCTCTCCCACCTCTGTGGCAGCCCTAAGGATGTCTGACTGCTGGCTTAGGCCCACTGTGGGAGCGAGCCTAAGAAGTCAGTTGGACATCCCCTGAGGACTCCCAGACTGCGAGAGGGTGCAGACTGGGCTGAGGGACACCCCCCACCCCCCGAGTTCACGAATTTGGTGCACCAGCCCTCTAGTGAATATAATAAAACTTCAGTGTAGAAAATTTGAGAAAAGAGAAATGTAAAGAAGAAAGCACAGGAAGTAGTGCAGATTTTTAAACTTTAGAGTTCAATATTAGTACAGATTTGGGTGATTATAATGTGACCCAGATTCTAACTTTGAAGGTATGAATAATACTAAGATATTTGTGACTATATTTATTTTAATTAATGGCATGTAATACATTTATTGTTGACACCACCTAAAGTAGCTTATTTACACATCAAATTTGCATATTTCACAATGCAGAATGGTTTTATTTTTTATATTTTTACTGATTTCAGAGAGGAAGGAAGGGGGAGAGAGAGAAGCATCAATGATGAGAGGAAATCATTGATTGACTGCCTCTTGCACGCCCCCTACTGGGGATCGAGCCGGCAACCCGGTCATGTGCCCTTGGCCGGAATCGAACCTGGGACCCTTCAGTCCACAGGCAGATGCTCTATCCACTGAGCCAAACCAGCTAGGGCCAGAATGGTTTTATTAATGTTAACGTCTATATTAACATGAGTTCTCTTTCTCTCTCTCTCAAGTTTCATATTGTCGAAAAGATAAAGATCAAAGGAAACAGCAGGCAATGTGGCGAGTTCCCTCTGACTTAAAGATGCTAAAAAGACTGAAAACTCAAATGGCTGAAGTTCGATGTATGAAGACTGATGTAAAGAATCCACTCTCAGAAATAAAAAGCAGCAATGCTCCTTCTGGAGACATGCAGACAAGCCTTTTTTCTGCTGACCAGGCAGCTCTGGCTGCATGTGGAACTGAAAACTCTGGCAGACTACAGGATTTGGGAATGGAGCTCTTGGCAAAGTCATCAGTTGCCAGTTGCTACATACGAAACTGTAAGTGAAAACGAGCCTGTTAGTGTCTTTTCTCCACATGTCATTTGGGAAGCTAGAGGACAGGTTATTTTCAGAGTAATAATACTTTAAAATCTCTCTTACAATGAATTGAGACTTCAGATATATATACTACCCTTTCTCCTATCTAAAACAGATTATATTTTGCCCTGGCTGTTGTACTCAGTGGTTAGAGCATCAGCCTGAGCACCAAAGGGTCTCGGGTTTGATTCCTGGCCCAGTTGGGGCACGTGCACAAGGCAACCAATTGATGTGTTTCTCTCACATTCATGTTTCTCTCTGCCCCTTCCTCCCTCCCTTTCACAATCTAAAAGTCAATGGAAAAAATATCCTCCAGTGAGGATTAACAAAAAATAAAACAGACTATATTTTCAACTGTATAATAGAGCTAACATTTCTTGATTGCTTATTCTGTACTGGGCAATAAATAACACAAAAACCTTAACCTTATGGATCTTGCATTCATGTATTTATATGGTCGGGATTGGACATTAAAATATGTAAAGAAGTAAAGATAATTGCAGTTGATGAAAAGTAAAGAGTGCTATAAAGGAAACAACAGAAGAGTGGGTGGAAAGAACAGGTGAGGAATGTGCTCCTTTAGTTAGGGTAGTCAGAGAAAGTCTGAGGAAGCAACATTTGAACTGAGACCTGAAGGTTAAGAAAGTGACAGCCATGCAAAGATCTGTTGGAAGTGTTCTGGGTAA